TTTTTCCGGAGATTTGTTCAGGAATTTAGTGGTATAGGATTCTACTGTGATCTAGTCTATCCACGTATCCATTTATCCATCCATCCTATTTGGTGGTATTCTCCGTGGATCACTTAGGCTATTTATAAAAGCATCAAAGCTCACAGTTTCCAACACAGATAACAGAAGGGGGTGGGAGGGAGAAAAAAAAAGATGGAAGTAGGGAGCAGGAGGAATTGATGATGGGGGAGGGGCTGTAGGGTACGGGGGGAAACATGGAAGATGAAGTTAAGAGAAGAAGAAATATCTGGCTAACAAAGAGTTCGGCACAGGTGGAAAAACAAAAAAGACAGGACGACAGAGTCAGTAACAAGTTTTCTTCGCTTCAGGATGTCAGTGATACACTCACTGTGTGTGTGTGTGTGTGTGTGTGTGTGTGAGTAAGTGTATGCATGTGTGTGTGGGAGCCAGGCTTTGGAACCAGAGACCTCCCACCCACACTGGTTGAAGTTCCAGAAACACCTGAGCAGCTTTCAGCTCCACTAACAGCCACCGGTGTTTGCAAATATTCACTTCCTCATTTGTAAATGAAAAAAAAAAAAAAAAATTCAAAAAATAAACCACCGAGGAAGAAAAGCTTTGGGGCAGCCGTGTGCCAAACTGCAGCTCCATCGCTGAAGGTGGAGGTGGAAAGACTGTGATGAAAGTCAAACACATAAATGAAAAGTGAAAAAAAAAACAAAAAAAAACAAAAAACAACCAAAAGTTTCTTTTTGTTTTTTTTTAAATAATAAATTTTTTTTTTAACCGATAGATAAAAAAAAACCTAAATACTGCAGTAAAGCAGCACATTCAGGGCTGGTTCTAAGTGCAACCAACACTCTGTGCCTACACAGTCCTCTCTCCTCTTCTCTACCTCTTCTTCCATGTCCATTATCTCTCTCTCACCCACCTCCTCTCTGCTGCTGTGTCATTTCTGCACATCCCTTCCTCATTCCTTCTCAACAGTCAGCCCTTCAACAAGAAATGTTTTTGAAAAGAGTTTAATTGAACGGAAGGGCACTAAAAAAAAAAAAAAACTCACCTTCGTCATCAACTTATGATTTGACTTCAGTATGAGACGTATGAGGACATTATTCTCTATACTACTGTGTCAGAAAAGGCATCACGTTTGGTGTAGAAACCATCTTAAGAAACACACAGTGTATTTTTTATATTTTTCTCCCCATATTTTGTTCTCGTTCTTATGTCGTACGTCTTCCCTTTGACTTCCAATGAGCAGTTAATAAAAGTGATTTATCTCTCTCTACAGAACATTCCGCTTCCTTCTGTACGTTTCATATGAATTCATAATCCACCAGAGGAAAGTTCCTCTTTATTATTTCCCTAATGTCGTGTCAAACTTTAATTCCTCGTGTTTTTTCCCCCTTGTGTTCAACACCGGCGTCTTTCCTTTGAACTTTCATCAAATTCATATAAACCTTCTCTTCTTTCTACATCCTTCCCACTCACCCCCCGCCGCCTCCCCCACCCCATTTGTCTCTCGACATCCCCTCGATGAATTCCACCTCCACTTTCCATCCTCTCCCGCCTCCTCCACCTTTCTAATCTTTTTATCTCATATCCAGTTTTATTGAAATAGGATTTCCTTCCCTGAATCCCCCTGACGGTAGGTGAGGTTTCTCCAGCTGGAGCTGACTAAATCTGTCCATTAGCTGTGGCTCAACAGCCCATTAATTAATACAAAAAACACATTTGGAAATAGATGCAGAAAACTCTCCGCGCGGCTCCGCACCATCAGCCGGCAAGGAAATCTGTGTTCACAAGGTCGTCAGATGGAAGGTGGCCCACGTGGACGCACAAACTCAAAACACTCCCACTACGAAGACACCGGAGACGAGTTCTCACACATTTTCCTCAGACAAATCGTTACATAACACGAGCCGCTTTGGATCTTTTTTTTCTTCTTGTGTAAGGAAACCTGAACGGCAAAAATAATCCCAGCTCACTGACTGCGTTTACGTGAACAGGCGGCACAGAGCTCTCAGGGCCGAGGCCATTATTCACATTGATTTACTGTGGGAATCGTTACTACGGCACTTTGACAAAAAAAAAAAAAGAATTCTAACTTTGGATTCTCATGTGTGAAAATGTTTACCTTCTGTTCACCTCCTAGTCTGGTTAAGATTTATGATGATTTACAGCAGGCACGTGGACACACCCAGCTGACTGTGACATTGGTTTAACCATCTCAGCTCCACGTCCAGGTCAATTCTTTCTAAATTTCTAAAATAGTCACATTTTCATGTATTTTTTATATTTTTACACTCAGTATAAACTGAAAATCACACTTTTCTTTTAATGGCCTCTCAATTTAAACTAAAACTAAAGTGGATTTTTCACCTTCACTGTATTGATTCGTTCAAGTCAGAAGATACACCCAGGTGTTGTCTATTTGATTTTCGATCGTGGTTTTTCTGCACCATTTCCAGAACTATGCAAACCACAGACCAGACCAAGTCCACTACAAACAGGAAGTTCAGTTTTAAGATTTTTTTCATTGCGCAGTTCAACTGATCTTTTTTTCCTCTTGTTGAGGGGTGTGAGGGAACAGCTGGAGGATACAGCTGGGGTACAGAGTACAGCACCACGGTCAGCTCCCCAGTCCAGGGCCATAAATGAGCACTGACTCGTAGTCACACCTATGTTCAAATAATACACTACAATCACCTCTGAATCACCTCACTGTGTATATTTCATACAGTGAATACATTCACTACACTGAACTGTTTCAAATACGCAGTAAAAAAAACTTCAAACGTTACATCAAAATCCACCTTATTTGGACGTGGCTTATTTTTAGACTCACAGGTCGTAAACGTTGGTGTTCAGATATTTGCTCCTACTTCCTTTGAAAAAGGTTTGTGTGTGTGTGTCTCCGTGTGTGTGTCTCTGTGTGTGTGTGTTGTCTTTTAGAAAGTTATTTTTGGGATCATCGGTTAGCTCAGATTTTTTTTGTCTGCACGGCTCTGCAGGTCTCTGAACCCTGCTGTCAGACTCAACCTCCACACACACACACACACACACACACCTGGAAAAACTGCTTCCTCTCCAGAGGCATGTGGGTCTCTACAGCACAGCGGACCCCCCCCCCCCTAAAAGGGCACTATTAACATCTTATGAAGCCACATCAGCTAATTACCAGCGAACCCACACAGCTGTATTGAACTGCTGCTCCTCCATCTTTCAGCATATAGACAGTTGCATTTGAATGTTTCACTGTTGCTAGGAGACCACGTCCTTGACTATTACTAGCTGGCTGTTAACAAAAGTGAAAAAAAAAATCTACAATCTTCAAGCAAATTTAAGAAAGAAAAAAAAAAAACAGAAGCACAAAACCTCCTGGTACCTCCACATTTTTGTCAGCTGCTGTTTGATACGTCGTCATGTAGCGGAGGGAACAGTGAATCTGTCACAGATGAGAACAAACACAGAGAAACAATCTGTTTCCAACCCCCAGCCTCTGTCACGCTGCTGTCACAGACCGGGCCACGGAACGACTGTACATTTTTAGACACGCACCGAGTCACATACCACTGAAAATAGGTCGACACCATGCAAGTGATTTGCTATGATATCAGTCAACGATCAGAGAGTGCATTCATCAAATATGTAAATGACATAACTTATCTGCAGTTTGAGTCTGGACGCCTTAAAGACACAGGCACCGAAAAATTGACTTTTTAAACCATGATTTTTATCGTTTTGTTTCCCATTTACTCTTCTATTGTCAGCTGTATTGAACAGATGAAATACATAAATATATATAAATGTCAGTTTCACTGTGTTGACCATCCAAACATAGTGGGTTTTTTTTACCATCAAATACAAAGAGGATGTAGATGTGTTTTAAAATGGACGACTGACAACAGGGTTAGAAAAATAAAGTCAAAATGCCACTCATTTAAGTGTGTGTGTGTGTGTGTGTGTGAGTGTGAGTGTGTGTGTCTTTAAATCACTTACCCTGACACTGGAATCCCTGCTTTCCAAACCCCCTGGGGGAAGAGAACATACACAGGAAACACAATGAATATTGAACAAACATAATGTTTTCACACAAACATCAAACTTCAATCCAAACCAACACCGAGCCGTTCAGTCTGAGATGATCATAAATCAGTACCAGACACATTCAAGGAGGTGCAGTGAACGGTACCAGGTTCCAGTTCTACAGAAACAGACTCACTGACACCAGGACATGTCGTGGCAGGACAGACACAGGCGTCTGCCCCCGGGCAACAAGGTCAACCACACCTGAAATAGTAAAGCTGGGGAGGCGCACACACACACACACACACACACACACACACACACACACAGCCATGTGTTTATGTTGTAATCAACAACCTTTTCTTTCATTCTCCCACCAACGGTCAGACAGGTTTATAAAGAAAACCAATCAATATCAGAAGTTTGTTTTTTGGAGAACCTGAGAACCTCCGTCTTCTAGGTCAAACCTTTTAGCCATTTACAAATGAAAAGAAAAGCCAGTCACGGCTTAAACGGTGGTTGTGTTGGGAATAGCGCAGAGACACAGATAATAATAAAAAGGCTCAAATTAGGCCAAGCTTGAGCCGGAAACTCATTTAATAACCACGGGCAGAGCTCACAGGGCTGAATCTCTTTCTAGAAAGACCTGGAGGACCGCTGATGTTATGTCACAGCCTATTTGAGGGTCTGACCCGTGTCAGACAGGTAACCCGTCCCTGCTGCAGCTCTGGAGAAGTGGAGCACCTTAGATTTTTCCTCTCTCTGTGTTTCTGCCAAATCAAACCGCAGTGTGCAGCGCCTACAGACGCCCACGTCGACCCCGCTACGGCACCTTCCTCGACCGCAATTAGGTTTTTAAAGCCGACCAGACACTTAAGAAATAACTGTAGCCTGAGATCAAGAGCCAGGTGTGACACAGGAGCCGGGAAAACCATGGTCACAACGTTCTGGCGCTGAAAAACCTTTTTTTTTTGTCATGTCACCGCAGCTGACTATCAAGATTCACTCTGATATTTTTATTCTTTTTTTAGCCCCATTTATATTCATGAAAGTGAAAGAATAAAGTTCATCAAGATTAGATTTAATTCATAATTTTAAAAAAATAGTTTTAATTAGTTGAAAAAATATTTTTATTTTACTTTTTTTACTATATATTTCAGGTGACCACCTTCTAATCCCAGGTGTTCCCCTGTGGGGTCACGACCCCAAGGTTGAAAAACACTGCAGTAAATGACCAAGTATGAAAAAGGTAAGTTGACTTTGAAGCTAGTGGCGCTTTGGCCCAGAGGCAGTGTCTCTGTCATTGGTGTGGAACCCCAGGGTTCACCTCCTGGGCAAGTTCAAATCCCAGTTAGGGCGGTTGGTACCTTCCAGTGGACTCACCACCCACAGGAAGGTTTGGTACGGTGCAATGTGATTTGGGTGGCGACTGCTGCCCCCGCGACCCGGTAACGGATAAGCGGATGAAAATGGATGGATGGATGGATGGACTTTGAAGCTTTTTTTTCCAATTCTCCTCCACTATGAGAGTGATGGCTGTTACCTTTAGTTCTTTTTGGGATTTTTTGGTGTTAAAAAACCCAAAAAGAAAAAACAAGGATTTGTGTTCATGACAATAAACATCTGGAACGCAGAACTCTGATTTTTTTTTTTTCATTATTATTGATTGTAGTGTGGCTGGTTATCGTCAAATCAGCAAATCATTTGGGCACAGACTAAGATATAGAAAAGAAGAAGAAGAAGAAGAAGTGATGGAGGACCCAAACACTTCAAACATTTACATGTGGTTCCTGTTTTAGGTTCCTGTCACTTTCAGAAGCAGGAGTGAGACGACGATAAGAAAGACAGAGAGACGCAGTGGTGGCAGTGGATCTGTGGGTTCAACCCTGTCTTTATATTCACCCGAACCCTCCACCTCAGTGAGCCGGGGGAGCAGTGGAGTCGAACCCAAGACCGGGAATCAGAGTGTGTCTCACTGACGGTGGCTGAGCAGAAGACGATGACGATGAAGATGATGAAGATGAACTTCTACTACAGTTTCATATGACCTTGGATTACAGAAGTGCAGCCAAGGTCACACCTGTTAAATCACCAGTGGTCTTTCTCACATAGAGTTTTGCATGCCTTTCCTGTATGTGTGTGTGTGTGTGTGTGTGATAGTGTGTGTGTGTGTGTGTGTAGTACCCTGAGGGACCCTGAAACCAGGACTGAGCCGTAGACGATGAATGACTGAACGGTCTTTGTGAGGAGTAAGAAGTTTATACAAAAATAAAGATAAAGATCAAGACAGAGAAGCTGAGGAGAACATGGAGCTGGGTGATGAGAGAGAGGAGGGAGAAGAAAGACAGAAAGAGATAGGGGTAGAAGTCAGAAAGAGATGGAGGTAGAAGACAGAGAGAGATGGAGGTAGAAGACAGAGAGAGATGGAGGTAGAAGACCGAAAGAGATGGAGGGAGAAGACAGAAAGAGATGGAGGCAGAACACCTACTGTGGTACTGAAACACCCCCCCCCCTCCCCCCCCGAAAACCCCCATTAGAGGCAACCTTGGAGACATCTGAGCATTTTAAATATTTATACGATATATATGATTATTTTTCTACTATACTTTTCTCCACTTCTTGTAACATCAGTGCAGAGTTCGATTGCCAATTGTTTGCACTGCATTTTACGTTGATTGACTTGTTGACAGTTAAAAACTCCAGTAACACAACCTTGTTGTTTCTGTTTGTTTTCAAATCAACTGAAACCAATCGACTCCGTGAATCATTTGACTAAGTTACACAGACGGGGTCCTCACCAGATGAAGTCGGTGCAGTGGCTGCAGAAGGTGGGCTGCTTGAAGAAGCGGGCGATGAATTTGTGGTCCTTCACCTCGTGCACGTTCTTCTGCCGCAGGGCCCCCTGACGGGCGAAGCCCCGCATGGGCTGACTGGGTCCGTCCTCCCCGTCACTGTTGGCCGCAGCAGAGTCTGCCATCCTCCCGGTCACCGGAGCACCTGCTGGTGGTTCTCACTTCAAGCCGAACAAGCGGGTGTGTTGTTGTTTTCTTTCTGCCGTTGGTTCAGAGTGAAGAGTTTGGTTGTTGTTGTCCTGGAGCTCAGGTTGATCAGAGTTCAGGTCACAGGTGTGAGGCTCCGATCATCCGGGGTTTAGTTTGATGGAAGTTTGGAAATGTTTGACTGTCGCGTCTGTCTGTCTGTGGAGAACATGTGCTGCTGCTGCTGCTGCTGCTGCTGCTGCACCGAGACCTGGCTGCGCTTCCTCTTTTTCTCCTGAGCGCTGCCCGCTGAGAGAGAGAGAGAGAGAGAGGGAGCGAGAGAGAGAGGGCGAGGGGGGGGGGGGGGGGAGTCAGAAAGAGAGATCCAATCACTGATGGTTGCTTTAAAACTACCCAATCAAAAGAGATCAAGAAATTTTACAGCAATGTTTCTCAAGGGGTGGCTGGCAGCACAGGTGTTGGCTACAAACCCCCGGTCAGATTGGTCAGTGCAGTGAACGGCCATACTGAAGGAGCAACAACCACTGACCTTTCTTGTTGTATGGCTACAGCACCAACCACTTAAATGAATCCATGAATTATTATTCAGCCTGTCTGTTCCACAGCATACATCAGTAGATGAAATCAAACAAATGGGATTAATATTCTGTTCCCTCCAGGTAGGAACACAATTCACGCACTTATGATTTAGTGCAAAGGTCAACCAGTGTATACTGAGTCTATATACAGTATATCTGTCGTTTTGATCTTGTATAGCTGCTCCAAGAGCATAGATTGATAAGCACACACACACACACACACACACTGTATTTTGCTGTGGGCTGACAGGGGATGACCTAGATGCGATTGATTTAGCCACAGGAAACATAAATACCTGAGAGTCTCATTAAAACCTGGTTCACAGTAGATTTAACTCTGATGAATATTTCCAACCCATCTGGTTTTCAAACACTGTTTTCTTATTGATTACATCTCAGTTGTTGAATAATGTAAAGAGTAAAACTGTAACAAAAAAACAACAACAACACTGCAGTACTGACCACACAGGTGGTACTTCAAACCTCCAGCCGTTGTACTGGAGCCGACCTGTACGTCTGTGGACTGTGACGCAGTAAATATTCACTCTGTATGTGAGCTTTTGCCCTCAATATCTGATGCAGCTATTCCAGTGGGGGGTTGTAAAGTGGGGCAAGAGTCTGGAGAGAGTGGAGGGCCAGTCTGGACGTGGATTAGAGTGGATCTGTCACTGGTGTCAGCACCGACCGTCAGCACCGACCACACACGGGCTGTAGCTGCAGCCTATCTCACTCTGGTTGAACTGTCGGCTTCCATGGGGAGTAGTGATCCAAATCCAACACTTTGTTTTCTTTATGTTCTGGTGGATCAACACGAGAAATTTTATATATTTTTATTTCTATATAAATAAAAAAGAAAAGAAAAGAAAACTGGCCCGCACATGGTGTTGTTCTGTACTTATTCTTGGAGTGTTTTGCAGCAAGAATTTTTAACGTTGTTTTGTTTCCCCCCCCCCCCCCCCCCCCCCCCCAGCCCTCTCCACGTATCTCTGATCTGATAAAATGAAGATAACTAAAATATCTACAAGTGTACAATTTTTAATGATGTGTTGTTAGTTTTTCTGGAATTTATATCACACAATCAAATATTTTCTCTCTCTCCCTCTCTCTCTCTTTTTTTTTTTACTCACACACAGATTAGCATCCACTTCCCTTCACCCTTTGTTTTTTTTTTCCTGCTGACTCCCACTGTTGGCCTGCTGAGAGTGTAAACAGTTCTTCTCCTCTGCACGTGGACTTCAGCCAAAAACTCCAGCAGGAGAAAACTAACATGCACTCACCTCCTCACACCAAACTGCCCTCAGCATACTGTACGAGAGCCAACAAAGGAGTGGGAGTGGTGAGAGTTGATATGCAGTGACAAAAACACCACTCCACCACCGAGCACCCGTTCATTTGTCTGTTTGGTTTCAAATGCTTCCTTTCAGTATCTTTCTTTATAGAATAGAATAGAATAGAATAGAATAAAACGTATAAAATGTAAATGTAAATGTAAATAAAATGTATTTAATTTGGTTTGGTTCTATGTGTATATTAGACAATCAATATAAATAAATGAAATTTGAAAATTTTTGACCATTTTTTATTTCTTTTTTTTGACAGGAGTGTTAGGCTAAAAACACCGTGAGAAAAAAAAATCCCTCCAGCCTTCTATTTGCCTTTAGGCAATATAAATCCACACGGCACCTGACTATAACCTTCAGGGGCACAGCAAAAACAAACGATTAAATGAAATATGGCTCTAAATTGAATCTTTAAAAAAGTGTACAAGTCCTTGTTTACCACTAGAGGGAGACAAAACTCTAGCAATAAAGTCTGAACATTGGTCTTCAATATGAAGTCCTGCTACTAAAAACATTTCAACCACCTATGACACCAGGTATATGGAAATGTAAGATTTCTAAAAGCACATATACAAAGCTCCTTGTTCTTATCACGGCATTTACAAAAAAATATTTACCTCATTACATTTTTTTATTATCCTAAGCTCCAGTTAATGTATGGTTTAGAGACTTAATCGATGCAAATTATTTAATAATTAGATTTCTCAATTGTAATAACAGAGGTCTTTGATACGATAATCTTTATAATCACTCCTCGTTTCTTCAACTGGTTCAATCTTCAGCTTTGGTGATTCATTATTATATTTCTGAGTAAACTGTTTGACTGAAAGACACCCCCACCCACGCCCACCCACCCACAGTGTAGTTAGAGTAAATAGATGTTGGGATTTAATCAACCAAAAACACACCATGCCCTTTTTCTGTTTACTTCACAACTGAGTTTCCCATTACACCCTGTCTACAATAAACTGGAAATGAATAATAACTGAACTCCCAAAAGACAAGTGAAACTGGAGACATGCGTTCCCAGGAGTAGTAATAATATTTTATCTTAAATCAAAATCAGATTTTACACGCACGGTGGAGTGTTTCTGTCCCAGTGTCTGCTCTTACTGTAAATGATTGTTAGATCCTCTTCTTCTGAAATTCTAATTTAACACAGAGAAGTCCTGTTTCCCCTTTCTTGGCTTCTATGACCAAAACAAAACTAAACACATCACATATTTGCCCATCAATATACAGACTAATTGTTTGAGAAGAGGAACAGACTCAGGTTAAACGCCTGACAGCGTGACGAAACCAATCACCAGACACAAAACATCAAACAAAACTATGATTGTAGCTCAAATGACCTTCAGTTCTATTAGATATAAAGAAAACACAACTGAGCAAAAAACACAACTGCGCAGTATTAGGTTTAATAAATAAGAAAGAGTAAGACAAATAAATACTGTAGACGTACTTGTACCAGATTGTTAATAGCTACAAGTGGTAACCAATACCAAAGGTATGTTTGAATGACAACACATTCAGTAGAATTTCTTCTTTAGTCAAGAGTCAGGAGGAAAGTGACGGGTTTGTTGTAATCATGATAATGGCCACTGTTCGTGGGAAATAAACACAACAACACACATTATGGTGAAAACCATTAGCGACATAGAAGCCTACACTTCCTTGGGACTTCAACATCATGGCCTCTGTAATTATTATAATTATAATTATTATTGCTATTAGTCAGTGTGGTATCTGTACTAAGAAACTACTCTTACATTTTGTAAATTCGTGACAAATAGAAAACACTGCATCAAGAAAATTACCTAACTATTAACTATTATTATTACAAATAAATAAATAAATAAGAGTCTTTTTTACATACATATAAACGTACTGATCTAAACAGAAGTTTACTAGTACTGTTGTAATATTCATTTATTTCTATTATCAAGCAGTTTTGAGAAGTAAAGCTGTTTATATCTGTTTATTTATGAACTATTCGACACTTTACGACATGGAAAACTAAAATCTTATTTTACTTATTTTAAAAAACAGCACTTGAACGCACCGTCATGGACAAAAGCCAATCAGAAACGCATGAGCTCATGGCGCGTCATGCTGGCCGACTTATTCTGCAGTCAGTGGTTTCACTTTCACGTTCCAAGAAAATATATCCTTTTACAGAGAAGCTGCTAAATTTGGAACAAGTGACGACAAACATATGCAGGTGTAAAGTAGTTTAGGCTGAGTTGACTTTACATTCTTAGTTTTTATTTAATAATTATTTCCGGTGAATCTAAACGAAAAATGCTGCGCATTTTTGCACGATGGTAGAATATGATACGTTAAAGATAAGATAAGATAAGATAAGACTTTATTGATGCCACAGCGGGGAAGTTCACTTGTTACTGCAGCAGAGTAGTACACAACTGGTAGTAACAGTAACAGCAGGGTAGACCCAGTAAATACAACGTGCATTTCAGCAAAGTTACCATTTACTGTGGGAAATAAAGTCACAAAGTTTAAGTGCACGTAAATAAATAAATAAAAGAGGCGGGGATTATCTTTATGTTTACAGGAGAAACAGTGGTTAAAACCCTAAACAGTGATGTTTGAGCAGCAGTGAGTTTGAGAGTCATGCTGACGCTGGGAGACGAAGACAAGATGAAAAGACAGGATGGTACTTGTCTGTTAGAGTACAGGAATAGTACACAAATTAAAACTGCCAAACTGAGGTGGCATTTGGGTGTCAAGTTAAGACTGTCCAGTCCACAGACAGATGCTTGTGTCCAAGTGTCATGTTACTACTTACGCATAAAGCAACAGTGTGTTTTTTGTTTTTGTTTTTTATAATAGACGTCAAAAACTTGAAGAATACTCAGCTGTCTGCACTGTGTAGTATTCAACTGAGATTATTCTCAGCATTATACTGTGTTCAAAAGGAAAGTAGGTCAAAGGTCAGAGCATGACCTGTGTGATTAATTAAACAATTGTAATAAATTTGTCAGCGGTCACTAGTCATCCGTCTTCTACCGCTTAATCCTTAGGGTTTGTGGTGGGCGGAGTCAAGGCCAGTCCATTGTCAGGCAACATATAGAGACAAGCGACCATATACCCATAACTACAGTGGGTTAGATTGACATTTTAACAATGAACCTAATCTTGCATGTTTTTGTAATGTGGGAGGAAACTGAAGTACCGGATGAATACTGACGCACAAGGAGAGAAGATGTTAAACCATACGGTACAGAAAGACCAGTCACCACAACAGATACAATCAGTCAGGCAAGAGCATCAACCACTCCTCCACCTGGTGGCTGACAAACGTCACATTGTGATTTATGTGAGGCCTGACAGAGGTGCTGCATTGGTCAGCTGAACATATAGGAAGTCATGTATGTTCTATACAGTACGACTGTAGGCACCAAGCTTTCTGACTTGGTTTTACTTGTTCACTTGTCTCGTGGTTCATTAGAAACGCCTGACTTCAAACCTCAGAGAACATAGGACTTACTTGAGATCCCACTTAGAAGAAATGAAGCCTCTTCCCTAAAATCTCGGCTGTGGTATTTTTCCAAAAGCTGTTTCATCACTTCATGAAAAGCACTGTAATCAGTGCAGGCGTCCGACTGGTTTTTCAGGTTTGCGTGAGTTCTTCAAAGAAATGTAATAAACTTCTCACTAAGAGTATTAATTACCATAAATATCATAGTGTTTCACTAGTATTTAATCAGAGTGGAAATACTCTTCCATGCAGATAGATCAACGGCTCTAACTCTAATTATTACTGTTTACTTGGCTGCTGTGAAATGGAACGAGGGAGAAAGAAGGAAACAAAGGAAAGATAATAAGCGACAGTTGACAGTTAACAACAAACAAGCGTTTTTGTGCAAATTATATTCAGAGATCGGAGTACTCAATAAAAAAAAAATACTGCAACAGTGAAAACTCCAAGGCACTGACAGGATTCCAATAAACCATAGGAATTTAAGGAAGACGTTTTCAGTTTCACTTTCAACAGGTGAGATTTCATTGGTCCAAAACCACGCACAGCTCTTGACAGCTTTATGGATCTGTGTTTACAACATACACTTAAGAAGGAATCACATGCTCCAGACAACATATAAGAGAATAACTTCTAAAGATTCTCTGAAATACAGGTTCTCTTTTCAACTCTGACACTACTTCCGCTTTCATCCCGAACAAGTCACAGTATGACGATGAAACAAGAAAAAAGGATGTATAATTAGTCAGAGTTACTTACATTCTTGTATTTTCTTGTATTGTACAGTTTCAACAATAAAAAGAAAGAAAAAAAATCCCACATTGTGGTTGAGCTGTCTGGCTGTGTTTTGATTGGCTGACCTGTTACTAACAGACATTTCCCCAGAATTCTTTATACTTTGTTTCATTTTCAGATGCCAACACCTCAGATTCTGGGAGTAAATGGTCATCTGCTGGGAATACTTAAAGTACTCTGAGTAGGTGAAAGGACAGATTTTGGTCAAACATGGTCTTTACTCTGACCTACAGCAGGACTGGCAGGAGTGTACATGGCTTTATGTTCCCATTTGTCATCTTTACAGGAATATTTTTAACGTACATTCAAATATTCTTCTCTCACACATTTTGTTCAATGGAATGTTATACATTTGAGGGAGGAGAAATTTGCTTTGAAAATAAACACACAGTCAGGAAGTGGTGCCAAAAGCACAGGACCTTTGACCCCCGAGACTGTATTGCCTGTTGTAAAAGATGGATTTTCAGCAGGTCTTAACTTAACAGATAACAGATTTCTTCTTTCTGCATTTTTATTTCTTGTGTATGTCATGCTTCACACAACAACAGCAAATCATGGCAGTTACAGTAAGATATAAAACCGCTTCATCATTAACTCATTCCTGATTGGAGCTACAGTTGGTAGTTCAGCAAAGTGAAAGTAAAGTCAGTGTACGATGAACCTTTGTCTACTCAAACGTTGTATTTATTGTGTCAGGATGACCATCAAATTGAAACCATCATGATGTATTTACAAGCACTAGACTGAGATTTCCTGGAATCTAGGCCTCTGACTGTGAAGCCACAGGGAGGATGTCAAAGAACAGGGTTGGGGAACTAACGCTGGACATTTCCACTCAACGGAAATGATCTTAATCAGGAGACTAACCTTGTCTGTGCAGGAAGTGTAGATTGTGATGGCATGGTGACTGGACTAATATCATGGGCCAACTCCCATCCTCAACTTCAATAAAACTTTTCATAAAAATTGTCATTAAAACATAAGCTTTTTTTTCAGGGTTTATTTAATCCCTTGGGGTAAAGTTGGACCACTCATCTGTGTAGAAATGTAGCACCACACATACAAGAGCAGTTGTGTTTTGTTGTGCACCAGTGGAGCAGAATGGTCAAAGGTTTACTTTAAATTTAAAAAAATAAAATAAAATACATTTTTAAATACCTTTATATCACGAGGAAAGACATTCATGGACATACAGTATAATCTCAACTGGAAAATAAACAAGAAAAGAGTGAGAACCTCATAGATGGACTGACATCACGGCTACACATGGAACAGGAACCAATCACAATACAGAGAGCAAGAGATGGAGGGAAAGTATTGTACAGGCTGAAGCTGTACAAAACGAAAAACAAAAAGCAAACAAACAAAAGGTAGATGAGTTTACACATCATATTACTGTAGTCCACATTTTTATTCTGCATTTCTCTCACAGAGGCACATTTGTTTGCACACAGCTTTTACACCCACTCCCCCCCGCCAACACAGCCCCCAGGAGGAACCTCTGACATGCTACAGACTTTGACTGCACACCTGATTTTCCATAGATAACCTGCCCGTCATTATCATATTTATAATGAATATTCACATCAACTGTGGCCTATTTTTGCATAATTTCAGTCACAAATTTAAATTTTTTTTTTTTACCTAATAAAAGTTTTTGAATAAACCAAACCACAGACTTCCACTGCATTTTCAACGTGATGCACGTGTTTTGTGAACCTTTGTAACAAACAACTGCGTTCAACAAAACAGATCTATTGTCACAAAGTTGCAGAGATCTGTAATCTGATACAATCCCAGCTCTGTGGTTGGTCGGTTATGTTTCAGGCTCTTGCTCCCAGTTACACAGAAATGAAACTCATGGGACACTTGTTTATGGAGGGCGTAAGAACATGCAGACAAACACAGGTGCATCTCCACGGTGCAGCGTGAAATGATAATAATTTAGAACATATCTGCACTGCACATTCCAACTGTGTCACCAAAGTTAAAACAATGAGAGGTAGCAGGCTGTGTGTTTCTGATTACGTAGGACGCCATCTTCAGGTCCAACACACTGTAAGCAGCAACTTCTGACCCAGCCTCCTTTTCTGTCTGTGTTTTCTACAGGAAATCTGAACTGTCTGTGTTTAGCCTCGTCCTACAAAATACAATACGCTCTCATTCAAGGCCCTAGTGTCTGGAAACAAATTTACGATTAGACTTAGAAGTTGGGATACCTCTGTGACCTGTTTACAGTAAATTTGCATGTTTGACATATTTTTCTTGTGAATTTGAAACTGTGGAAGTGACTCACAGAGCACCAAAGACACACAGATGACCAAGCTCATGATCGAAAGTATAAGTCCACAGCTGGTGAACAGAACAGACTGTTCTGTTCACCAGCATCAATGAAACTAACCACAACTACAGCATGACCTCACTCAGCGTATCTGTCTGCAGGGGAGCTGACGCCTGTGTGCTCTTCAAGAACCACCTGATCCACCTGAGCCTTTCTTAACTTTCACTTCCTCCTTACTATCTATTTGCCCAACTGGCTCTTAATTAAAACCACATTGGGACTACTGGGGGGAGGGGCAGGGGAGTGAGGCCACCTCCCCAGTCATTTCCCTCTCCTAACTATTGGCATCCACAGGGGGCGGTGTATATATATGTTTTTTAAGTTTTCTTTTATCTCCTACAGCAGATACTGGTGTTAAAGCATGGAAATAAAAACAAAAACGTACAGTAATAAACCGTTGCATGGAACACTTGTCATGGTGATTTCATTTGCAAGTATTTGTCTATTCATACGGGTGTGTTGCCGGGTTAACACGCGACTTCAAGTGGAGATGCATGTGGAAGACATTCAGCACACGCTTCACGGCTGCATCCGTGTGTCTTTTTATTTTTTTATTGCTGCAGTAACTGAGGAATTTCCTGTGAAGTTTTTGTGTCCACTTGGTTTGGCATATAATATCACATTGAGAAAAAGAGAGAAGCTGAAGTGAGATTGAAATCTGGTTCAAGCCAGTTTCACTTGATACATTAGAATTCATTAAAATAGCACGATGAGAGCAGAGTGAGTCACCGTCACGTGAAACACTGGCTTTTACTAAGAAAAAGGGGTTTGGGGCTGAACATATGGAAATACGCCGAAGCCCAAAGAGCACAAAACAAGAAAATAAATACATATAAAAATAAATAAGTTAGAAAAAATATTTTAACTGTAAAGTATCTTTTAGCATAAATGTGCCTTGACTTAATATGTGATGTATGCCATTAAAAAAAAAAAAATTTTGATTCACATTCAAATTAGTTCATCTCATGGTTACCACGAAAACACACACACACACACACACAAAAAACAACCCACTTATCTCCCATCCCTATCTGTTTCTGATGAAAGTGTAAGGTATGTTCTTGACAATCTCAAAATAAGAACAGCGCCCTCATTTGGAAAGAGGAGGAGCTCAGTTTCACTTTCATTTGTATTTAAAAGAAAATTGTAGCCTCTTGCCGTTAAATGCTCTGCTTGCCCCGCCTATTTATGGCTCAATAAAACGCAGCATTTAGTCTGTCTGAAAAACACGCACGCTCTTCAGACAGTACAGGATTTGACGGCTGGAAGTCACAGCCAAGAACGGGCTGTCAAACAAACCGTGGCCCAGCAGCCGGCACTCATCCTCGGACGATCTGTGCAATAACCCCGCCGTTTTCCCCTCTTTGGAATAACAGTCAGACGGATCTTTAAAGGCACAGTTGTTGTAACAAAACGGTAAGTTCACACTCACTGCAGCAGAGTATGACAGTTGTATTTTCTGCACGGATATATTTATTAATTTTTATTTATTTTTTGCATCAGTGCAGTCAGCGTTTGAGGTTTTTTTCTCTCCGGAAAACACCGACTGCTGTGTAGGACAAAAGTGAAGTCATTTAATTACCATGTGACGTGGAGGTTTTTAGATTTTAAGTTTTTTAAAATTTCCACAGTGTTAAGACTGTTCTTATGTGGAGAAAAATGTCCAGACCTCCTCAGCATCTGTTAATCATTAGCCCGTTTTTTGGAATCCTAACTTTTCCTCATATTTGGATTTGTCTGTTCAACTTCTGGTTGGGTAATAATAATCCGAACGGAACGACTGACGGGTCTGTCTGTACATCCTGTCTGTTTAAACTGACGTATGAAGGTCCTTAAAGGGAAGGGAATTCTTTTTTCAGTCAAACAATAGTTGTCTCTCTCTCTCTCTCTCTGTGTGTGTGTGTGTGTGTGTGTATGGTATTTAGCCTCGAGCTCAGCTTACAGTTGCCACGAACAAAGTTCTGCTGAGTGGAAATTACCATGAATTTCATGTTCTATTATTTATTCCTGTATCTCCTCACACACGCAGTCACAGTCAGAGATATTCCATCTCTGATGCTGGTCTGTGTGAGTGTGTGATGTGTCTTCTGACCGATTCTGTGCTGTAAAAGAATCTCAGGCCTTTAAGTTAGAGTTCTATTTTAATCAATATTTATGATAACATTTCTTCTTCTTCTTCTTCTCCAGGATGACAGTGTGGTATTTAGCAATGGGAGAGGGTTTGGGACCTCTCCCCGCTGTAGGATGGTAGCCAGCAGCACAGTGGACGGCCATGACAAGACACACTTGTCAAGCTCATTGTCATCATCATCATCGTCATCGTCATCATCATCATCATCATCATCTTCAGCATCATCTTCCTCTTCAGCAGCATCATCTTCCTCATCCTTCTCCTCATCCTCTTCCTTGTCTCTATCATCATCGTCATCATCGTCGTTCCACGCAGAGTTTGAGCAGTTTCAACAGTGGGCCGCGGTCGAGCCCAGTCCCAGGTCTGTGCTCTCTGTGTATCCGACCCACTTTCGCGTCTTCGCCTGTAAAGAGGACTGTAAGATCATCACAGACACCGCCGCCAAGCTTGAGCGCAGCGGCTTCTACTGGGGTCCGCTGGGAGTGGAGGACGCTCATCGCATGCTGAGGGACGCTCCACTGGGCAGCTTCCTCATCCGCGACAGTCGGCAGAAAGACGTCTTCTTCACTCTGTCCTACCACGCCAAGAGTGGACCGGTCAACGTGCGCATAGACTACAAACAGCAAAAGTTCTCATTGGCGGGGAACTCGCGCTCCTTCCTCTCTCTCTTTGCCCTGTTGGAGTATTACATCAACTCCCCCAAAAAGAGCCTCAGTGTCCCGTACAGGAAATGGAAGCCGACGCTGCAGGAACTGTGCAGAAAACGTATCATGGAGCTGTGCGGTGGCTCAAGCAAAGTCCCAGAGCTGCCGGTCACTCATGTGGCCCAAAGCTTCCTGGTGGATTTTCCCACAAAATTTCCGCGTCAACTTTGTACACCAACACCAACGTCCAGGACAGTTGAGGACATGAGTGAATCTTTTTATCATGTGCTGGACGTTAGATTTCAGTTCCCATGGTCACACACATCGACGTCTTTCTCTGAGTTAAGGAGCCGCAAAATATGTTTTCAGAAAAGGAACACAGAGGGTGTTCTCCACAGAACTTCATCTCCGACATATTTTTCCTCTAGGGAGTCTGCTTTGACTTGCACACGGACACAGCGTCCTTTGTCCTCGCAGAAGCGTGAAGAGTCTGAAAATGATGCATTAAGAGACAATTTGCCAGACGGACTGAATGGGGTCAAAGCTGAGGGGCGGGATGAAACACGCTCGTCGTCTCAATCTCTAAGTTATTTATTTAAACTTTTTGAAAGGACTTCACGGACTGAAGAGGTGACCGTGAGACATGGAGACATCTTCTGGGACTATCACGACAGATAGCAGCAGCATTTATGTTTGTAGCAGTTCAATAATACTCTAAACCTGTCTGAAGTTTACATCACAACTGAATGTTTGCCACTGACGACTTAAGAAACCACTTCTTTTGAAAACGTGAACGCTCACATACTGATGATGTGTGATGTGCAGTACTGTATGTAGAGTTCTTAACCTCGTGACCACTGTGTCTGCCAAGCAGACGGTATAATATATTAGTTGTTTTTTTTTTTTGTACCACCATTATTCTAAATAAAGTTTATTTTAATTTAACCCGTTTTGGATTCAGTCACTTTTCAAAATAATTTGGAAAACTACACGCACTGCATCCACATGCCTTAGACACAGCAGACAGACAGGAAGTGTCGTGAGGTAGTGTACAGTATTGTTACCACAGTGATTCATATCTGGAGGACAAAGTGACAGGTGGGTGGGATTACTTTGGTTGTAAATGGACTGTTACGCCTAAAAACACACACACTTACCAGAAACACAGGCAGTGGTGACACATAAGGAAGTTGCGTGTGTGTGCGTGTGTGTGTGTGTGTGTGTGTGTTTGTGTGGTAGGCTAAACTTATCTGAATGAGAAACCACCAGAGATTGAGATTTTTCGTAACAAAGAAGTGGGATTTTTTTTGGGGGGGTTGATGGTTAGACAGAAACACTTTAGATCCTGGTCAGGTTTACAGTCAGATCCCATTTACATACTTCACAAGTGTTTGGTATGAATGTGAATGAATTACAGAAACTTGTAGAAAAAAATGTGGAGCAAAAAGGGGGAAAAAAAAAAGATTTTTGCGACAAATCAGTAAGAAATTTCATGATCTATTCTGATGAGTACAATCCAAATGGCATATCAGCGAATGACTTAGTGTTCAATAGAAGAGAAGGTGAAACATACTATTTCTTAATTGGAACTCCTCAGTTGCCTTGTTTGTAATGGCACTGAACGGGTGGGGGAGGGTGGGCGGTGACGACAGTGCCCTCGCCTGGCGTCATTCGTCACCTATTGTAAAGCTTTTGTTTTTTCTTAAACTTAAAAGTAACTGGAACCAGGGTGGTTCTACATTAGTCACAAGAGGAGTCAGTTCCAGTGTAACCTGTCTACATTCAGTGACCTTCTTCTGAACAGATCTGGAAAATGTCCTGCATTGGTATGAGTGTGCAAAAAACCAACTGTTAGATGGGGGAGAAAAGCCACTTTTCACCATTTTGGCAAAAAGTAAGAATATATCAAGCTACAAAGTTAGCTGATCCAGCTAAAGTCACTGACAGTTAAGCCACTATCAGATGGAAATTAGCCAAAAGATAATTTTAGCCTGACAAAAATAGTGTCAGTCAGTGGGTTTATTATGATTTAATTAGTTCCATTTTATCAGTTCCATTTAGCCTTCACTAGCTAGCTACTAGCGTCATTCGCTTTTTTTTGTTTGTGTGTCTGTGGTCTAGATAAAGAGATAGGCAGAGCTGTAAAAAGCACCAGAAGAAGAAAACATTTTCATGACAACTGTGACACAGTGTCTCGGTCTTTTTTGAACATCTCTTCCACACATTTCTTTGTGGTTGGGGTGGACTAACCTGAACTACGCCAACACTAACACCAAACCATACCAACCTACGTCTGATCTTTAGGGGATTTTTAAAATAAACAAATATATATACATATATCATGCTATGAATCTACCAAAATGAAGCTGGTGTGTACACGTTGAGTCATAACAAAAGTTAGAGTCACCAGTTGATTCAAGTTAAACCTGACTAATGTTAGGGTGAAATTATTTGAACTCCAGTGAATGGAAGTCATACGTCACAGAGGAAGATGAGTCAGTGATACAGACATGATAACCAGGACTTTTTTTTATCATGGTGTCATTGAATGTCACCCTCTAGAAAGTAGGAACTGTGATCAAAGGTCAAGCATCAGGGGTCCATTGTGCCAAACCCCCCCCCGATAAAACGAAGATGACTTATTTGTGGAAGTTTTATTACACACCGCACCATTTTGGTGGATGTTTTATTTTCTGAAGTGAAAGGTGAAGTGAGGAGTTTTGGAACAGCTGATTTAACTGGAAACGGCCACTAGCTGGAATTTCATAGATGTGCTCTCTGTCATGTACTCAGACGCTGCTGTCGTACGTCTTTTTTTCAAACAGATGTTTACTTAGCTGTTCTTTATTTACTAAGCCTAGTTGCTTTTTCTAAGAGAGTTTCTCATAAACTAAGGGATGATACACTGATGCATTTCCATGAATTCAATTACGCAATTAAATTATTTATTTCCTTTAGGCTTCTTTAAGGAAGGAAAACATTCTTTTTCATGGAAATACTGAGGTTGTTTCACGTTACAAGAAACACAGGGCTTCCCCAAAAACAGACCTCCAGTGTGAATAGTTACATTCAGTAGATTACGGTAAAAAAATCCTTAACAAGAAATAATATGACTATAACACTCTGTAGAAGACCTGTTGAGCTTGCTTGGAAACAGCAAAATAACAAACTAGTGTTGCTGTCCTCTTCTACTAGTGGTCAAAGAGGAGATCCAGGGTAAATGAGGATTAGAGTGCCCCCTAGTGAAAAACAATCCCATCTTAAATTTCTTATTTTAACAACCTGATTTGAAATTTATTTTAAAATGGCAAAAAAGCTATAGTGAGCTAAATAGCTATGAACTTAAGGCTTATTATCACTATGCTAATATCAAGACCAATACCCAAATATAAATATTTTTCATTAGCTACAGTGCTGAATGTATAGCTTTAAACCAAGTGACATGTCTGTCACTTAGTTTAAATATTTTCTGAGACTGAGACAAACCAGTTTAAATGTCAATTTGATGCCTGCGGTTTTAGTGAACTACACACACACACGAGCATGAAACCATATCAGTGTAGTGGCAGTACCAGGAACCCGTTCACGTTTACGCACACAACAACCAGACTTCCCTGAAGTGAGGAACCACAAAAGAAAAAAAGAAAACAAAACATGCAGACCACAAGATGACTGGGGGCTCCTCCGGCAGCCACAGCTACACAGCACAGACATAAAAAGTATTGAGCAAACGTCATCATTATTGTCTGACATGTTGACCACTATTACCTCCGTTTAACACATTCATTAAAGTAGCGTGTGAGGCACCACACATTTGTTAGAAAAAAAAGATCTTTTTATTTTTTTCTAACAAATGTGTGGCGCCTCACACGCTTCCTAATGCAGGAGACCAAAAGTGTGACATTGTCTAATATTTCCTGTGGTTTTCTAGCTTAAACACCAAGAAGAACCTCCTCCGCTGTCGCTAATGACAGATTCTGTGAAACAAAACAAAATGGGGAAAAGGTAAAAGACTTTACAGTCAGTTAAAACCCTAAAAAACCCTCACTGTAGCCCTTTGTTAAGTAGAATAATTTATTGCAGTTCTTTATTTATGTAATCGTCTGCTGTAGGTCATTAACATTAATTACAGTTTTAAAAGCCAAAAGCCTTTACACAGCATACAAACAGCAAACATACATACACTCACTACAATCAGAGACTCGGTGACTGAAGCCTGAGAGGGGAAATGCAAGGCATGATAGGGGTTTGTCAAATTATCGGCACGGATTCTACAATCCGTGCCAGTGAAGTCTCTTCATCTTAGCTAGCGATAGCAACTATCTTGGTTTTTTTTCTTTTTCTATTTACAATAGCAAGATGGAAACATTTGAGACGGACTAAAAAACGTATTGCTCTGAGTTTATAAACACGGTGATGGCTGTACAGAGTTAGTAAAGACGTAGAAGAAGACTTCAGCTATGGGACGGAGGCACCGGAAACCCTGGCTGAAAACGAGGGCGAAAGAGAAAAAGCTGCACAAATAAAAGTTCTGGAGAAGACACCGGAAAAATGGAAACGGTCGGTGTGTGCTGTGGTGTTTTTTTAATATTGACATGTAGGGGATGATGTTTTGTTTTTGTACAGGTTGTTTGTTACATTCATCTCTCCTCACACTGATTAGCTCTCCACGTTATTGCAGTTGTCAAAGCTTTAGTTAATTAGAGGTGAGGAGGCTTGGGTTGGGTTAGGGACAGTCGTAGCTCCACATCAAGGAAAACAAAAAGAAGACTTCGTTATTGCAGTTGTCAAAGCTTTAGTTAATTAGAGGTGAGGAGGCTTGGGTTGGGTTAGGGACAGTCGTAGCTCCACATCAAGGAAAACAAAAAGAAGACTTATTTTTTTGTTGTTGTTGATGATTTACACACATTCTCCTACTTTAACTAACTACGACTCCTTAAATCTGGTCAATCACATATCACTATGGCACTAGAGCTTTGTATTACATAACGAAACGGAGGAAAAAAACATTTCATTTTAATTTTCCAATACTGTATTACCTTCCAGAAACCCTTCACCCACTTAAAACTTTAAAAGAAAATTAAAAAAATTAATTATTTTATTAATTAATTATCTACTTTTCGTGAAAACAATGGAAAATTAATCTAAACTGCATTTAGGAACGCCCTATGACCTAAGTTAGCAATACATGGAACATCAAATATTGTAAATATTTACTTTGAGTATAAAATAACCACTTCTCCAAAAAAAAAAAAAGGATCAGTAAAGTCAGGACCTTCAGTGGGATGAGAACTTTATAGTAGGTTAATATCCATTTTTTCAGAATTAAATACCATTCATACTAATGTTGTTGCAGCTGAATTTATATACAGTCCACAATATGTATCAGTTAGAAAACCAGATTGTTTTAAATTTCATTCACGTACACACACCCAGCCCTGGAAGCAGTGCAGATGTGCATGACGCGTGGAGAGTAAAAGTCTGGTGCAGCAGACCGTGAGTGGTGTATGGGTTGGTGCATGTGTTACTATTATTAGTAGTGTGGTGCCATCAGAAACGGTGAGAAGTGAAAAGAAGAAGATAAGTGAGTGAGGTAACAATCAATGAATCCAAATGAGTAAAAAACATTGCTGGTTGTGTGCGTCAGTGCACACGTTAATGCTAAAAAGACTCACATACACACACACACACACACACACACACACAGACTCAAGTGCATTAAAACCCAAATGTGCTTTGAGCCTTTCTTCAGTGTCTGTTCTCTCTGTGCAGACAGAGCCTCTGATCATGTGCAAACACAAACGCTGCAGATCCCTCCACCTAACACAGGTTGGAACATGAACATGTACCGCAGCCAAGCAGGGCAGCTTATCTACTGCAATTTACTGTCCCCCCTCCCCCGAGTGTGTGAGCGATGAGCTTAATTGCATGGACATGAGAAGATGGGCGAAACTTTTAATCCAGCTCCGGCGAGTCCAGTGTTTCGGTGTCCAGCTCTTCGTCTTCTCTGTTGTCCACGTGGTCGACTGTCGTCTCTGACTCTCCACCAGGAACTCCTGCCATCTCTGAACACGTGTCCTCACCGTCTGGTGCTTCATCAGTGGGTGTGACCAGCTCAGTTGTAGTGTTCTCCTCTTTTACCGTTGCGTCCGTCTCTGTCTCATCCAAAGGCGACTCCTCCTCCTCCTCTGGCAGCGATCCCTCTTCATCCTTCTTCGTTTGTCCTCTTTCTCTATCCTGCCCCTCCTCTTTTTCTTCTTCCTCCACCTCTGCGATGGATGCATCAATTTTTTGGAGGGAATGTGTCGCTGGAGTGTGGCTAACGTACGGGTGGAGGTGCGGCGACTCTGCGGGGGGCAGCAGAGTGAGTGAATCCACGCTGAGGTTGTCGGCATTGTTGTCCGTCAGGAGGGAGATGGTAGGCTGCGAGGCCGGAGTGAGGCTTGGGGCCAGAGCAGGAGTCGGGGCTGGGGTTAAAGGAGCGGAGACTAGTTTTACTTCTCCACTCTCCCTGTCTCCTTCTCCACCTGAGGACAATGGTGGATTGTGCTCCAAGAATGTCACCTCATCTGGTGAAGAAAAAACAGAGAATGAAACGCTTCCTTTGTGAGGCTGTGTTTAGAATTTATGCAAAACGAGGCCCATCCTTAACCTTATGTATCAACTGTGTCCTCTGTAATAAGACACCTCAGATTCACAGTCTGCAACACATCAATACAGAAACAAAAATCCTTTCATGGTATAAACTTTCATTTATGTCATTTTTAAAATCTATTTTATTCTTTAACATTTAACAGTCTGGTTTAGAGCACACGAGAAAAAAAACTCTCAGACTCTTTCACATAGAGTTTTTATGTACATTTGAAAAAAAAAAAGATTATAGAGAAACCTGTGGAGCAACATTCTTATCTTATAACTAGAACGGGTGGAGAGAAGAGTGTTATTAATGCAACTCAAACAAAAAACACAGGAACAGAACAATGAATGTTATGAGTTTTAGCAGTGAAGAAACTGGGGTTAATTTCATCACATTAACTCAAAAGAAACTTCTTTTCTAAAATAAAAAAACAAAATTTCATGGGGCTAAATGACGATGACGAAATTTGTTCATGCATTACTCAGCGAAAAAAAAAAACAACATGAAAAAAAATCTGGCAGGGATGAAGTCCGATGGGCGCTGTTAAGTGGTGGGACAAATGAGGGCGAGAGCCAATCGCAGCTTACCTGTGGGGCTTTGAGCTGATATGGTGCTTGCAGTCACCGAGTCGCACCTTCCCGTGCTTCCACTTCCACTTGATGGCGGTGAGGGTGAGGAGAGAGGCGAGGGACTATGCTGTGAAATACAGTGAGCCACCGCAAAACCTGGGAATAGAGCGGCTACGAATGATATTTCCGCACAGTGCTGTCACCTAAAACTGCAGCATCACGGGGAGCAGGTGATTTTGTTGAGATTAAAAAAAAAAAATTGGGGGGTGGGGGGGGGGATTCTGTCCAGAAACTGCAGCAGATAATAACAGCCAGTGGGAAGAAAACACAAACTGACAGCGGTTTAACTGACACCTAACCACTGATCGCGGATATCGTGGGCAACATTTTCAAAAACAACACAGGTCAGGTGACTCGCAGGAGTTGCTTCATTATAAAAAAAAACAACAATCAAGTTTTTATTGTGAATACTAGTAATCAGTGAAGTAACTACTATACGTTTCTTCACTGATTACTATAATCTCACACATACTGTATAAGACCCAGTGTGTCAACCTGGTGTTGGACTCCAGGTTGGACTGATGAGGACAGAATGTTGTTTTCTATCCAACAACTGTATTTGTATTACGTTGTACTAAGGTTTGGTTGGTTCTGGTGACGTATGCAGTACCTGGTACTTTGTCCACAGAAGCGAACATGGATCTACTGGCTGTGGGGTCATTGGAGGCCCGTCTCGACTGCTCGTAGAACCTGAAGGGCAGTCCACTGGGTGAAACAGAGGCCGTTTGGCCAAAGCCTAAAACCTCTGTTGCGCTCGGTTGCACTGGTAGATCAAGCAGAGCTGCAGACACAGAACACACAAGGTTTGCTAATAATCTGTAGTGGGGATGGCCCAATCAGATACTCAGGGACGATATCGGTAACACTGGTCAAACTTTCAGGAATGAACATAAAAAACTGACAGTGGATTTACATTAAAATACAACGTACTGTTTTACTGAGAGCAGTTTAACTGCAGCAGCAAGTGTAACAACTATTAGTTCATGGATTGACTTTTGCTAAAAGTGCAGAGCCTTGTGGTCCTGCTGACTGTGATCAGAACGTCTGACTGCAGCACATATTCTGTACAGTATTCACATCCCTACGTCCTCACCTATGCTGCAGGATTTCAGTATTTCTTAACTTCACGCAGTTACTGAAAAAGGTTTTTATGATCGCATGTAAACAAAGAAAGACCAGGCACTTCTTTGAAAACAGTAGCTTTTTGTGACCTTTTGTGTTTTCATTTAATGATACTTTTATACATTTCTGTTTTCTGTTCAGTTTTTTCTCACCGGCAATCCTCTGCATCTTCATTCGCCGGGCCTGAATGCGACCTTTGGCCAACCTCTGTTTGGCGATGATGCATCGTATGTGGTCAGCAAAGATGAAGTTGGCTTGCAGGATGGGCATGGGTTTGGCATGTGGGTTGGTGCTGGGCTTATGGATGACAATATTCAATGCTCTGCTGTCGTCCTCAACACCAGACACCTGCATGTCCTGTATCAAAGTGGTAGGATATTATAGTTCAACATTAAAGTGCTGCAAAATAATTACATTTTACATTCACAATGACAAAAAAAAGACACACTCAACACTCAATTCAACACTCCATTAATGTGTTATGTATTGTTTTGTTATTTACTTACTTGTAAAAGTCCAGCAAACTTGACCACACCCCATCCTAGGCGCTTGGATTCCGGCTCCACGAGACTCATCTGATAGACGTCAACGGCGAGGAACCGCTGGGCCTGGCCGCCATCTTTACTCACCACCATACAGGCTATGAGGTCACTATTATCTGAAAAAATATTGATGCACAATGATGTGTAAAATATACAGAAAATATTATATAGGTGAATATTTCATTAATATATTTTGTAAGTAATCCTGGACATAACATCTGGGTGTGTAGAACAGAGTTACCACTGATTGGAAATCAGTGTATTGAATGCAAATAAATATGATGATGGACAGACAGATAGGCACAGATAGAAAGTCTGAAAAGTACAGAGAGGATTTTTCCCTCCTCCCACATGACACTGAACATAAAAAGGAATTGATAATAAAGATAAAACCCACGCCTCAACCTTTTCAGTTTAATCAAATTTACCACAAAAACCCCTGAGAAGAAAGAATAACTACACAGAAGTGGCAACAACCTTTTCCAGAAACCACTGGTTTTGGTTTCCATACCACACACTATGACTGGTCAAAAAACAAAACATTTGAAACTCAGGTCTCGCTGAAATTTAGTGACAAGCATTTTTTTTCCTAATAACACAAAGCAGTAAGTTCATTTATTTGAAGATTAAACTCAGCCCTTTCTCATGAAAAAGTGAGATAAAGTTAGACCTGACCTTTTTACTCCTTTCTAAGAAGTGAAAAAATTCAATAAGAAGAAAAAGTAAATGTAAGAAAAAAAAGCTACTTCATGATTTACTGTGGCAAACAAAGAAGTTCTGATGGAAACATTTTGACAAAGAAGGTCAACATAGAAATTGAATCCCCAGACCAGCCAGAAAAAAACCCTCCCACGAGTGATTACTTTCGCCTACTGCAGGTTTGTGGGGTTCACGGGTGGGTAGAAAAGCTTTACAAAAAATTGGTTTGACTAATCTGAAGGTGTTTTTGTATCTATTTACTTGGAATAACAGTTTCTTTCTAAGGCATTGTCCAAAAAGAGAAGTTGTGTCATACTTATTTCCAAGTATTTTTAAAATATTCTCTTTAACTTCCCAAGAAGGATGCTCAAAAACACTGTAGCTTGAAAACTGCAGTGCCATGGCACAGGTTTGATCATCCACCATGTATATTTTTTTGTTGTTTCTTTTTTAGAACGACAATCTAAAAGTGTTCTCCGACTGACTTGAAATCATGAAGGCCAATGCAGTGTAATTCACCTGTAGTCACACCCAGTAATTAAATTCAATTTAACAGCGTCACATTTACAAGCGTCTCTTCACCCGAACAAACCACATTAAATAATGACAGGCAGAGAGTGTACCTTCACTTTGGCTGTTGGTATGAGTCATTACATACAGTAATGAACATAAAAGCCATCTGTCACTTTCACCCAGGCTGCAAGTAATGATAATTAAAATGAACCAGGCATAGTGTGAGTTCAGTGAAAAATTCAAACCAAAAAAAAAGAAAGAAAGAAGAAAAAAAAAAAAACGGTGCAAATCTGTTCAGGTTACCGTTAGAGGAGAGAAAAGAAAGCAGGAAATAATAATGAGTGTTATATCAGTCTTTTGATACTTATCAAAATAGTTCATCAAGTCAAAGTAATTCATTTAGATTTTTCATTTTCACAGAGCAGATACACGATGTTCCTGGTTACACTTCATAATGGTTATACCACATGCTGATGAAAATAAATCCTGACTTTCCAGCTGTGGCAGGAAGTCTGTTGTAACAATCTCAATAATCCACTGACACTCACATAGACACACATAAAAAGCTACTGTCAGTAAGGAAGTAGGAAGTAGTGAAATAAAGATTAAGACAAACAATATGTCAGGGTGAAATTCCCTAAGACCCCAGAAAAAAAATCCTCAGCAAAGTCTATAAACCAAAGGCACTCAGTCACAGAATTTATGATGTATGAAAAAAATAAATAAATATAAAAACATGAAAAATGTATCAAAATACAAACACATCAGGTCTTGGACACATGCTCATCGATTTTAGTGTTAAATGTAAAAAATGTGATGGTTATGACTGGTGAGAATATAGGTAGATTTCATTCAGCAGCAGAGTTCACACATGTCAATACATCCTGTGAGCGTATGTCAGAGAAGCGGTGACATCTGCAGAGTTTTGAGAATTGTTTGTGAGCGAAAACTGTAAAGTGCTGCTGCTGCTGTGAGAATTTGCACAACACCACTAACCACCTGCAAGTTTCCACAACATCAGCGCACCTGTGTTCAACACACGTCTGTTCAGACTGTCTCTGCATGGGCAGAGATGTGTGCAGCACACACAATGATGCTCGTGGCTGTCTGTGTCAGAACTTTTCTCAGTAAAGTTGTCGAGTCAGATCAAGAGAGAGACTCTGCTTCACACACAGAACATTATTACATTTTGTGTGCATGTCGTGTGTGTTTGTTTGGATGTGACTTACTCAGGTCTAAGACGTCATCTGTTTTGATGAGGTCTTCAGGTCTGGTCAGAGGAAGCTGCGTCTCAGGTTCTCCCTGAAGCTGCAGCGATAGCGACCGCAACATAAAAAAGACACGGATCGCCTGTGCAGTAGTTGAAGACAAACACACACGCCTTTTATTAACAGAATTTATTATCTTCATCTTCACACTGGAAACCTGGCAATCTGATGTAACTTGATGATGTTGTTTTTGGCACAGTCAGACTATGTGATGCATTTTGTATCTGCTGTAACTGTAAATGAAAAAAAGAGTGACATTAAAAAGAGTGTGAACGGACTCACTCTGCGTGTCTTCTCTACATCCCCACAGGGCAGTCTCTTGACAAAGTCGATGCCAGTCAAAGGCGTGCCCGTAGGTGGCAACAACACTGAGGCATCCATCATTAGATACTCGACATTTAGAGGTTTACTCTAAAGAAAAAACCACACACAGACATGGTTGAGGTGAGATGAGTCACTGTTAGGTATTCTTGTAGCACCGAAGAAATACTCAAACTTAATGTTGTTCATTTTAAGTGCATCCATATGTACTTTTAATTCTTTATGTTCTTCCAATTTAAAACGGTATCTGACCCGTTGCATCTCCTGCCAACAGCTAAAAATACCATCACTGAGAACCACTATTACAGACAACAATGACTCATTTTCTTTTAGAGACTCAAACCAGACATTGAATCTTCCAGACACTGCGTCCAATTCTGTGGAAGAGAATCTGAACAAGTCATTAGATTTAAAATATTGTCTTGTCCTCCCACTCCTTTTTCCCTCATGTCTTTTAAGTCCTTTTTTGCCAAAAGGAAATAGATACTTGAGCGTCGAGCTTATAGATTACATTTGTAAAGACACACAGAGCCTGCTGTAGTACATGAATTGACCATATTTGGTAAGACTCACCGTCATGCTCCTGTATTCATCTTCAAACATGTCCAGGAAGATTTCCTCTCCCTGCAGCAACATAAACAGCATAAACTGCTAATCAGCCAAAGTATGACGTTCCACTTTAATATTCATAAATGTGCGATCTACTCTGAGTGTATGTACGCAAGTCATTCTACACCTACTTACTTTTCAGCATCCCATCAAAATGACACTACTGCACTTTGATGAAAAAAAAAGAAAAAAAGAACCCACAATTGGGAAATTCTTGTGTTACTTTTGGGAATTTGTATCAGAGTTGCTGACCTAACTTTTGTGCACTGTCAGAAAAGGATGTATTGCACAGTGTCGAGTCGTTGGATTTATGTGGTCCATTGTGGTGGTATGTGGAATTTACTTAATCCTGTAGTCAACGTGCTCACAGGAAAATAACTATTTTTATACCATGTAAATATATGATGGACAGTGGAGCTCTCATATCTTGTTTTCACCTTTGATTTTAAATGTAATAATGGTTTTCTGTTTGGACAATGTGTTTCCCACATGAGAGTGAAAATATATTTGCCCTCCCTCACATCTTCTTTCTCTCTGGTCATGTAACAACAAGCAACATTTAACAATGATTTATCAACCAAAAAAAAAAAAAAAGAATCACATTCTTACAATACTTTACAGAGAACCTTCACTCTGCAGGGAGGCTGTTTTTGGATCAAGGGCTGCAGGTTATCAGTGTTTATTCCTCAGTGTTGCACAAGCACAGCTAAGATTTACTGGACATCGCAATTACTACAGTAAAGTTTCCAGATTACTTAAAAGGGAACTCTTTTGTAAACCAGGACTATTTCTCAAAACCGTGGTAGTTCCGGTCACTTATTCCAAAACTGATATCCAAACATTCAAAGAGAAACTGAAAGCAACCTCACCTTGTAATATCCACGCAATAAATGCAGGCTTTCTTCTCTTGCCCCCTAGATACAATAGTAAAATAAAAGCAAAAGAGCAATTGAATCTTTATTATTGTAAAAACACTAAATACTTTTTGGTATTTATAAGTAATGTGCTATAAAAAATAACAATGCTATCAACAAAGATTGACTTAATATGGTCCTTTTATGATCTTAAACTGTTGTTTGTGCAATGACAATGTGTCTGTGTGTGGGAACTCTACCTCCAAACAAGCCAGATGAACGTCCTTGATGATGCAGTGGTTTCCTGATAACACTGACTGCTTCAACAGAAGACAACTCAGCTCCAGTGTTGCAAGACGCACCTTACCATCTATAAAACATGGTGGAGCAGAATGTGAGTCAGTAGAGGACAAGAACATACACCTCACGATGACTTGGAATCTGCTTGTGTCCTATGTGTGGTGCATGTCACCTGGCTGTGCCGCCTGGCTCATCACTCTGATTAGTCTCTCCACCAGGACCAGGCTGTAAGAGCTCCTCTCCTGGTCAGGAACTGGAAGCTGCAGCCGTTCGAGGAGATCCCGGTTGATACCTGCAGACCACATATGGAACATGAACTACATAATTTGATGGACATTTATGGCCAACGCTTTGCGACTTTTATCATATTTATATATTATTATTATCACAGACTTTTACCTTTACTATGATTTTTCATTTTCCAACATTTTGGCCAACCTCCAGTCTTTAACTTTTTCTGATTAATATCTGAACTCATATTTTGCACCAAAATTGGCCGAAACCACGCTGCTTTATTCCCGCATCAAAGTAATGATCTTTTTAACACGGATGAAGTACAGTCGCGACAAGTGCAGGGGATCCGAAAAGATCTAAGTGAAACGTGTGCTGACAGATTCTATAAGTGTACTTTTCACCCCCTCTTGAAATTTCAGCATTACACGTTTTGCAAATCGATATCCGTGGGTCTTTATGTCCACACCGCAGGCACTTTCAAACAAGCCCGCGCTGGCTGTGGTTTTTGCTTACATCATCATAACTTCCTGTTTCCGCTGTGTTGTTTGGGTAATAAAAGTATTTTGCCCAAAAAAATAAAGAAAATGCACTTTTGGGCCATTTTCAGCCGAAAATCTTCAGTGGCTGAATATTTAGCATACCCCTACTGAATAGGAGGCCTTTTTTTGGCTCAAAGCTTCAGTACATTGACCTATAGAATATCTAGCATGTAGTAAACAACTAGGATCAACTCTGAGAAAACAGATTTCCTTACACAAGAAACTTGCTATCATGTTGTGAAAATGTATCTCACATGTGAAATTCAGGATACTCAATCCCACAAAAAGGCAAAATGTGTACAAACGTTATAGTGGGACACACCTTTGCTGTGTGACACAGCATAAAGTAGGCACAGGACAAACAGGGCATGGTAGTCGTCACCGGTACAGTCAAGGGCGCTGTAGACCATGTCTAAAAACGGTCTGCAGACAACAAGAGACAAATAATTCTCCACAGTACTGCGTTTATATGTACAGTGAACATACACAACCACCGGCAAATACTGTGTTTGTACCTGCTCTTTTGTGCGTGCATGCGTGTGGCAGCAGCACTTTTCTCCTCGTCTGTGATGTTTTGCTCCGTCAGCTCAGACACCTTACACTTCTCCATCACCACCATCTCAATCTCTGTTTAATAGGACACACGTATACAGGCTTCATACTTGTCTTAGCAGCACCGAAAAACCAATGTTACCTAAACAAATCTAGGAGAACAATTATTTACATTCACATTAAACACACAAAAAGACACGCACTCAGCACTGACCACATCACCACCATGAAACGAATTATCTTTTCACCCGTGAATGAACTGAAATGATTCCTTCTTAGTTTACCCACTTATCTGTCACACTCGCTATTATTTAGAGCACGTCTGATACAAATTCATTCTTTCATGGGTGTGGAATTTTGGTCTTTGTGTAAATTGGTGTAAATGAGGAAGAAATCAGTTCAATTGAGTGAATGATCACATTTTAGCATCACACACACGATCAATAAAGATATACTGTACTTATACCAGGATACACACATGCACAGAGAACAAGAGTGAGAGACAGGCGGAGAAGATGAATGGTGTGTCACCGTGAAGAGGACATTCAGTTGCCATAGAGGTAGAGTTTGGTCATGGGGTAGATGTGGTAAACTTAAAGGCACTAAAAGTGGAATGCAGCAACAGAGTGGATGACCTCATCTCAAAACTAGCCATGGTGGAATGTCTTATTGGACTGAGGTTTAGTTCTGTTTTTTTGGGGGGGGGGAGGGGGGAGGGTGGACAGAGGGTCTTTAGAATTTTTCTTTCACAAGCTTTGGTTTTAAAAAATCTCACAGTCCGACAACAGTTTGGAGACGAGGATAGATGCTGCGGCTATGGTGGTGGTGGTTGGGTAGCCAGGATGCATCATGGGAGACTGTGTCTGATCGATGATAGTACAGCAACACTCACAAGCACAGTCCTGAACTGCTGTGTCCAAGGAGACACACACTCACCTTCTGCCGTCTCCCCACTCGCTCTGCTTCCCTTAGAACTCCCACCTCCTCCTCCTACTCCCTCTGTACCTTTTCCCTTCTCCCTCTCGCCTCCTCGGCTGTTGTCGTCCCAGCTGTCCTCTCCGCCAAGTCCACTACTTCCTCCCCCTGCCCCAGCCCTTTCGTCATCCTCCTCCTCGCCCAGATTCTTGTAGTTTGGCCTCTTCTGGGTTTTCTTGCGGCCACGGTGGCGAGACAGCTCCAGAGAGCGCTCCAGAGACTCGGGGGGCTTTGTGAAGCGACGAACTCCTCCTCCACTTGCCTGGAGAGGTGGAGGAAAAATAGGAAGAGAGGAAGAAAATACTTTTACTGTAAGGCAGACTCTTCTCACTGATAAATCAGAATTCTAAAAGTATTGTAGTAGTGTGCGCATTTAGCATATTCTCAGACAAGAGTAAGTGTTTTGTTTACTACTTGGTAGTATTTGCAGCGAGAGCACAGTAATTACACATACTCAGTTTGAGCCAAACACACAGGAAGATAATGCTTCAAACTAAATGAGAAGAGAGAAAAGAAGGGAGGTACTTTAAAGAATCATCTTTCCCAAGGACAAATAAAGGTAAAACACATCAGACACAAGGGAGTTTCATAAACAAGGAAAGATTCATAAAACACATGAGTTTATACAGAGGCACCACCTAAACGCATTACATACATACACACATACACAGATGTAAACACAGCAATGGAGTCAGATCCAATAGAACAGATTTCATCACTATTCCATTTCTAATAATAAAGTTTCCTAATCTTCTAAATAAAGTGGCTGCTGAAAGTTCAAAGTAACTGAATTGGCTTGAGCAAATGCCTTAAGCAAAATAAGAAAAAAGTAATAAAAAAAAGTTATTTTTATAAAGCAAAGGAGAGGAGTTTTTTTTCTTCTTTTAAACCCTGACAACTCAGTCAAGTTCTACCAAGACATACAAGCGACAGAAGAATAAAAAATAAAATGCCAACACTGTATGGACCCTTGGTGTGTGAGGAAATATTTCAAAAACATTAGTGAAAAAAAACCCAATACTACTACTAATAATACTACCTTGACTATTGTGACATCAGTAGTCACTTCTACTTTCAAAAATTCTTTTGTGGCATAAGAATTATGATGATGACTTCCTCTAAGACTTTTCTCCTACTGACTTTATTTCTGGTAATCAAAACATTTGCTTAATCCCAAAAATATGTTTTTTTCAAAATCCACTAAATCTATGTAAATTTGCCTCAGTGGTTATGTAAAAAAGACTTGAACTTTGTTACAGAACACAGAGGGGAAGCATTCCCCACACTGAAACTAGGTGGCCCTATTTCACTTGTTTTCTTGTAGAAATCACTTACACGTATGCGCACACACACACAGACACACACATATACAGACGTACATACACTAATCTGCTCCTGTACACCTGACTTACAGAGACTGATCCTCCTTAATCAAATGTTTCCTGAGAACAGCCACAGCCTCAGTTTCACAGTATCCACTTTTCCTGGAAGTGATAGTTTGACTGAGACTAAATTAAAAATACATATTTTAATCTTTCTAGAAAGTCATTAAATTTACCTGTAACTGGTAAATACAGCTAAACCTCATTTTTAATTTTCATTTCAGATTACAGAATCTGCACAACAAACTTAAAAGTATTTTTTCAAAGGTCTATTTTGATCAATACTGTTAAAGGCCATCAATAATATGTTTTTAACAGGTTGCCGCTGTAGTGCAAATATCTCAGCAGTTCCACAGCTGCTGCTTAAAAACACTGTTCATGCTTTCAGGCATTAACCACAGTAACAGCGTGTGTATATATGTGTGTGCGCGTGTTGCACCTGTGAGCAGAATGTTCTGGTAAACCACTCACACTCTGAGTTGATGCTGAGAAATTAATGGAGGTCAAGGAAAATGTGAGACACACACACACACGCACGCACACACACACACACACAAACATGCACCCGGTGGCACTAGGTGCTGATTAAAAAAATAATAAAAGAAAAGAATGAGATGTTAAGAAAAAACTCATGTTCACGTAACTGGTCCACTTGCAAAAAAAAATAAAAAAAAAGAAGAGAGGGAGAGAAAGAGGGGCAGAGAGAGCGAGAGGGAGGGAGGTAGATAGCTAAACTTCTTCCAGGAAAGAGATAATCCAGCTCAGTGTTCCACCATGTGAACTGACTTCCTGCCACATCACAGACAAACAGGAAGTGCCATCTGACCAGCTGTGTACAAGCAGTGCCCCCGCCCCCCCGTTTCAGCTACAATAAATCGAACAATAACAGAAGAACAGATCTGCCCGACGTGGCAAACAAAATTTTTTTAGAACAGGACTTTATATAGAAATGTAAATGCATCGCATCCACTTCTCTTTTAACATCTTAACTATGAGTGTATGTTGGTACAGGCAACACATACCGCCTCGTTACAGGTCACAAAAGCTACACCATACACTCATCCACACACATGCATACACACACGCACATGCGCATACACTCGCAGACAGAGAACAACCACAAGGATTCTGAGAAACTCTCACTACCTCAGCACACCCACCTGGCTTTACAAACAGTCAAACTGATCAAGGGGGGAGGAAGGGCGGACGAGGGGAGGGAAACTGAATAATTAGAGGAAATACACAGTGGAAGAGTACGTGGAAACAAACGGCAAGGAGGCCGGCAGTAGAGACAGATGCCGGAGAGAGAAGATGAATATACAGAAACGACTGGGAAACAAGATGGACAGAGGAGGAGGAAGAGGAAGAAGAAGAAGAAGAAGAAGAAGAAGAAGAGAGACAGACCAGGAAGTGTTGGCAGTGAGGGAAGATGACACAAACACAAACTCTTTTTTTTTCCACACTGCAGCTTTGATGTGGGTGAATGATGAAGAAAACCATGACCCTATAATTCTATAAACACCTACATATACTGAAAGCCCATGTGGTGTGTGTATGTCAATGTGTGTGTGTGTGTGTGTATAATACATGCACACGCATTAATGCATGCTCCTCTGCAGCATCCAGCACTGTGTTTTTGTTGTTGAAATTCATCATTTGTCCTGTTGTAGGATGAATAAAACCAACTGTGTTTTAAGACCTCATTACTGAAACTAGCTCAGTGGCAAATAACGGCCGATAAATCCAACTTTTAATAGAGCACAAATTACCCAAGATGCACATTGTTGCTACACTACAGAACATATACCACTGATACAAATTAAATGTCATCCATACATTGACAACTTTGTGTGTGTGTGTGTGTTTTACCGTGTTCTTATGTGCGCTGTGTAAGTCTGTCTGTGGAGTGAAGACAGACAGGTCGCCATTCAAAATAAAATCGGCAAGGGAGTTGACCAGTGGCTGATAGTGGATGATGAGAAACACCTGGAAAACAGCAGACATACATATAGATTATATTTAGCTATAAAAAAAACAAGAATTACTCCTCCTTATGTTGATTATTGTCACATTGATGTGTGTGTGTGTGTGTGTTTGTGTTGCTTACTTGAGATAGCAGGTAAAGAGACACCTGCGGGTTGATTTTTCTCTCCTCAGACTATTAAAAAAAACAGGACAGGGAGATGTTTTCCAGATTACATTAAAATGACAAGATATAACAAAAACAGGGTTATATGAATATGGAACCTGAGAAGAACGTACTGTCTCTGGATTGACTAAAGAGTACACGTAGAGCGGCAAAAACAGACGATTGAGGAGATGGTCTGTCAACACGTCGCTGAGAAATTCGCAGTTGATGATGAGGATGTCGTTCAGGTAGTGCAGGTGGTCGAGGTGTTCTGCTACCAGGTCACTCAGCTTCCCCCTGTTTTTATGCCTGGGAGAGAACAGGAGTGGGAGAAGCACAGAGACTAAAAACACTACAAATGGAATGCCTCTGTGAAAAGAGGGATCGTTGAAGAACTGTGACATCCCTGACATCTAGAGGTATCGCTGAGAATTACACCAAGAAAAAGAAACCAAGTCACTCACTCTTCGTCCGTCTGCACGCACTTGTCCAGTTCGATGACGTGGCTGCCGATGAACCACACCAGGTTACTGAAATATGGCACCGCCGTCTTATCACGAATGTAGTGCAGCATGTGCTGGTTGTCCACTGTGGAGAGAAACCGCGTCGTTACTGAGGCTCCACACTCACACACAGCTTCACTTCAGCTTCACCTCACCAGTCAACTGGATGTGATCTGATATGAATGAATGCAAATTAGGAGACGGGTTAAAAAAATTAATAAAGGAAAAAAATGAACCCTAATTATCACCTTATCCTAATATGTTATATCGTATCCATATATTTAAAGTCTGATTTTAAGAGTTCTACTGTAGCACAGGAAGGACAACTGAAACAACATTATATTTCATAGGTCGTACCTGAAGTAAATAGACAAAAAATATAAATAGATAGATAGATAGATAGATAGATAGACAGAGAGAGAGAGAGAAAGAGAGAGAGAGAGAGTATATTATAAGTGTCAGGGTGTTGAAATTATTGGATATACAGCACACATTACAAATTACAATGTCAAGACAAAATGTTACAGGTAGAGTTGATTGTTTTCCCTCTCCCATTTGTGAATAAATTAAGAAGCAACACAGACGAGGATGATGATCCATAACACACCACAAGCACCATGTGGGGCTCAGATAAAAATTACATTTCTGCATTAATTTAACCCACAAATACCCAAAAACAAAACAAAACAAAACATGCAGACTTTTTAAGTTTATGTTTGCAGGTTATCAAAAGTGGTCCCCAAGACAAATTTTTATACCAGTACATAAATAACAAACACATCATTAGGTACACATAGGGCTGGGTATAGAACAGAAACAGAGACATCATAGAAATGTGACAACAATTAACTACTTAGTGGATTAGACCCAAATAGATCAAATCTTAAATTATTGATGTTCAAAAAAAATACATACAAACTTTAACAACTAATATGAGCTAAATGCTCACAGCAAGCAACACAAGGTTGTGTAATAATGTACAAACTAACCAATAACTAGGAGGTTCAATGTTTTTCAACAATACCCAGCCCTAAAAAAAAAAAAGACTGAATGAATGGTACCAACTTACATGAAACTGGAGTTAGGCAGATGGGGCGCGTAGAGGGAGGAGGAGAGAGACAAGGAGAGGAAAAGGAGGAGTGGTTGTTGAAGAGGGTGGGGAGAGAGGGGAAACAGACACAGGGTTAATGTGGATAAAAGGGTGGCTGTGTGGGGTGAGGGAGACCCTGCAGTTATTACCACAAATACAAGTCAAAACAATGACACACCTGGAAAAAAAAGTCAACATGAACACGACAGTGTGTTTGCACGATTTTCAAAAATGACATTTGACTGTGTTTAAGACTCATTATCACAAAACACAGAATCACAGTTAAATAATTATGGACATAACTTTCTGGGTTATGAGTTATGCTTTTATTTCCAGGTTGTCATTTGTTTTATTTTAATGTCACAAGGAATCAGTAGAACAAATCAAACAGTGACATATCCATCTAATGGAGTTCTAAACAAACCTAACATACAATAGTTAAATAACAAAGATTCCCTTGATGCTTAATTGTATTGAGTCACTGTCGTACCAATGACTTGATACAATTCAATTTTAACATTCTACAGCACCATCACCACACTCCACCCTCTGTAAACAGAGACCCTACCACAGCAGAGTCTAGACCAGGGGTCCCCAACGTGGTTCCCGGGGGCTACCTCCACTACCTAAGGTGCCCGTGGGTTATGTTCTAAATATAAAACTAGTCAACAAGACGAGTGTCTACTGTTGTAGGACCCAGAACTAATTTTTAATAAGTGGTCCGGGAAGTCTGTAACAAACAAGCAGCTCTTCAAGTTACTAAATGCCCTTGAAGTAGTTCCCAATTTCAAAAAAGTTGAAGACCCCTGGTCTGGAGTTAGACCAGCAATGATTTACAGTTTATGTATATTTCAGACATCAGGAGGTTCTTTTTTTGGTTGTTTTGAATGACTTATTTTTTCCCCTTCAATGAAGTCAGGTGCACCGTGGGTAATGATGTCACTGTTTAGTTAAATAGAGTCAAGGCATCGATGGGCACACACAACTACAAGTGTGACATGCAGGAAAAGTCAAACTACTGTAAATGTGAAGAGGCCAGAAAAAAATTAACTCATTACTCTGTAGCTGCTCTGTGTGGTGAAGCAGTGAGAAGAAACAAAAAGAGACAATGTTTGTCTCTAAGGCCTGGAGCAGTTCAGAGACACAGTGGGGACACGCAGGCTGACACTGATGGACAGATGGTTAATAGGTGAATGTAGGAACATTGAAGATGTAATGCTGAACTTTGTGGTTTTGCAGTAATGAAGTAGTGAGAAGAAAAATGTCAATTCTTTTTAAATTGACAGCATAACTGGAAGCTGGATTTTTTTCCAATGCAAATAAAAAAGAGAAAAGAACAAGAGGACTTATATTTCAAGGTGAAGAATATATAAACTATATTATTATATATTATTTGCCTTTCTCTATTATATGTATACATATATATAACAAGAGAAAGACAAATGTTTAAAATAGAGCTTGCTATATCTAAAAAAAAGGTCCTTAAGTGGTAACAGTAAAGAACTGTCTTATTATATATTATCTAATACTGAAGTAAATGGTACTACATTTTTAAAAACATCTTGGATACTGGATGTACAGCTGATGCTTAATTCGCTCATATTATCTAAAAAAATGTCTCAACAACAATTAAACTCCTAAAAATGAAAGAAGTTAATTTATTTGAATTTTTATTCGCACAGGTAATGTGTTGACTTCTTATTGTCGAAGAAAACACCTGTTGGACATGCTCATGCACCAGAAACAACAGCAAAAGAACAGAAAGAGTTCAGTGAGAAGCAGCAGGCAATCTCAGCATCCAATGCGTGTGTGTATATGTATGTGTATGTGGGTGCGACTGTGACTGTAACGCAAAATCATTTGACTGGGATCCTATCAGCACTCACCTTTGTAGACGTTGAGCGTAATGGTTCGGACTGCGATGCGGACCATGCTCTCAGGGTGGTTGAAGAACTTAATGGCCTCGGTGTACAGGGCAAAATCGTTAGTGTGCTGTGAGAGAGAGACAGAGTAGTTAATTGAATATTTTTCAAAATAAACATTTCAGAAATTCTTTTCAAAATTGTTCAGTAAAACTGATCAATGTAACGTATTGTCATGTAATGTGTGTTATGAAGGGGTTAACAGTTACAACTTTGGGAAGGAGAGTGAGGAGTGTGTGCATGTGTGAGAAAGAGTATGAGGAGGAAAAGGTGATTGAGAAGCTGGCTTTGAGAGCAACAAAGAAGTTCTGAACGAGTTGCTGCTAATTGTGAATTTCAATAAAAGTTCTTCAGGGTACTGAGGCACTTGACTGGTCTCTTGTAGGGGCATTACAGTGTATTCAGAACAAAATAATGAAATGACATGACAATCCTACACCGCCCTCTAGTGGTAACTGTCCTAAGACTGACAAATTATAAACAATATAATTACAAACAATGAGAAAGAAGATAATAAATGGCCCATTAACATCCCATGTGTCTGTCATATGAAGCCAAGGAGATCCACTATTCCTCTGCCTCTTTTTGTCATTTTCTATCAGTCTTATATGCTCACCTCATTGTAGAAGAAATGCACAGTGTGGTTGTTCAGTTTTAGAGAAAGGGTCTTGAGGAATGAAATATAGTAGGCCATGATTTCCTCATCCGAGAAGTCAAACTTGTGGACAATGATGGAGTTCACATGGTTGTTGGACAAGAGATAATCTGACAAGAAGAAAATAAACAGGTAAATTAAATATATTATTAGTTGAATAAATATATTATTTTAGTCAACAGGTAAACAGGTAACCTCAGTACTTACATAAAGATGTTTCATGGCTGATGTTCTCGAACAGAATATTTAGAGTCTGGAGGAGCTGGACACAAACATAACGTCCTGATTTCTGCCGGAGGATGTTTAGGAAGAAGGCAAACATGTTCTTTTCCAGAAAGAAGCTGAACAGATAAAGACACACACACATGTACAGACTTAACCAATGCTTTTGTTGTGGATTTCAAAGTGTATGTTTTTTATTATTATTATTTTCAAATTTCTTTTTAGTTTTGGGCATATTTTTAAGAAAGAAAAAATGTTTCAGTGACTCACTCAAATACAGAGCTGTCATTCTGGTCTCCCCAGATAAGTATCTCTGTGATGGAACGGATGGTCTCCACCAATAGGTTTCGGTTATGGTCTGTCACTGTTGTGTTTTTGGTAAGGACATGGTACATATACCTGATGAAAAGAAAAGGGGAAACATTCTGGTTTGTAATTTCTAAAATGGTCAAAAACTGTTACATTTAAAGACATAGACAAAACCCCATTGAATAATGCGTTTTTCAGCTCTCCACTGCAGTGTATGATTTTGCAAATCATTTTTCATGTATCTATGACAACCATAATTAGTTCCACTTAACTTACTTAACTCTAAAAAAATGCATAAAAGTATTGTCGCACACCAATATTGATGGGATGCCTTTAGAAGACCCCAAAACCTGGTGGGCGTGTCCAAATCAACCTCAATGACTTTTAAGTTTTACTATATTGCACATTTCAAGTTCGACAATATGGAGCTAACATATTTTAGCTGCCTTTTCTACGCAACCGCTGGCATGTGAACTAGAAATAACACCGACTAAAAACATCCAGTGCTGACTGACATTTACCGTTTATTGGTTACATGTGTATTTGTTATTAGTAAAAGGGCCAATAACAACGCTTGACAGTTGTTATCGCCGGCTACCGTGCAGGCTAATGTTAGCTTTTCTGATGCTAGTCACTCACTTTAGATGATCCAAGGAGTGGATATTTTTCGTTCTCCCCTGCCCTCCAACCCAGCTCCGTGAGCGGCCGAACATGGTTATTCTATTTAAGGGGCGAATACTTGACAATTAACAGTTTTTCGCTAACGTTAGCATCCGTAACTATCCATTACACCTACTTTCCCTTTCTGGTGGCTACCTAGCAAACAGTCGTTGATAGGCGACGATAGCAAAGTGGTGAGAGAGCCGTGATAGCAAAGTCCTGAGAACGTTGTGGTACAACCTTGGTAGTTGTAGTTCATTTTCTTTGACATTATTTTGAATGGGAACGTAAGAGAGAGTAAGGAAAACTACAGATGACACTTCCTGATATTAGCGGTGACGAATAAGGCACGCGACATGTTTCATAAAAGGGAGGAGCCTGGAGAATGGAATGACAGTCATTGTAGCCAATCATTATGTAGATACTATCTATTGCAGAAATTGTTAATAGTTTGGTCACAGTTTGACCCACAACGGAAGTAGAAGCAGAGTCGGTGCAGCATTTGTCCAATCACAGCTCGAGGCTTCATGTGTCGCTGGGATTGTTTTGATGCCGAAAATGTTAGAAGTGACATTTAGCGATTAAAAGGTCCATATAAGGTATATTTCACATCAATTGTTGTTTACTGCCGTTGTTCCTCAGTGAACGCGTATTTCACACATGGATTTAGTATTCCTTTTAATAAATATCCGCGTTGGCACACGCTACTAACGTTGGATGCCTCTGTTTATAACCCGTGCCAGTTGGCGAGTCGTGTGTGCGTTCCACAAACTCAAGAATTATAATATGATACTGTCCGAGGGTTATTATTAGCTATGGACATAGCCGTTTTTCTATCGTTTTCCTGCGAACCCTACCGATAAAACGGCTCAACTCCTTCTGCCGCCACCGTTTACAAGGCCAGGAAAAGCCGATATGGACGCTACAGCACGGGCACCTACAATAGTTGTATAGCGGTGACACCGACAACTGGAGTCCGCCGCCTGGTCCTCGCACAGTAACAACAACCCCAACCGTAACTGTCGTTCTTTTCTATGACACACCAAATTTATGCCCAGCTAGATTCAGTAGAATCGCTGTTAGACGATCTCCCATATATGTTTTATCTCGGCTTGTTTTTTGTGAACGTCTTGATCCTCTACTATGCCTTTCTTATGGAGTACATCATCCTGAATGTGGGAATAGTATTTCTGCCAGAGGACATGGACCAGGCGTTGGTGGACCTCGGAGTGCTCTCAGACCCGGCCTCTGGCCCCTACGACACTGACACGGAGCTGGACGTGTTTGAGGGTTATCTGGAGTGACAGGAAGAAGGAGGAATTGTCTGAAGGAGGCGCTGGCTATGACGCAGCGGGCCGGGTCAGGATGGGACAGCGGGATCCCTCCTTGGCTACTGATACTGGGAAGGACATATTTTCAGATTGATGCTGATGTTGGCTTCACCTCCCACAGACACCTAGGTGAGCAGATGTTTTTCTTAAATTATTACCTCTGCTACACAATCAGAAAATGACTTACACATATATCATTACATACTAAACCAGGGGGAAGATAAAGTTGGTTGCGGCCCTAGGAAAGAGCCCCCACACTGGATCACTTGTCACTCACTCTGCTCCCAGCACCAATTGACTTAGGTGAAACCCTCAGCATGGACCAGAGAACGATGTAAGGACCTTCACCTGGGCCACAGAGACACCTGTTTACTGTGGAGGAGACAACTGCAGGAGGACAGGGATTAAAACAATTTCCACTGCTGTGCTTTGCAACGTCTAACAAGAGTGTACACGTCGCAGAAAATCAATACCCACTATAGACATCATTCACAGAACACGTGTTTGAAACTATTTTTTCATTTATTGCTTGGTCACCTCACACTCGGTCTTTTTCATCTCATTTTTAAGTCACTGATTATGTGTTTGACGGGAGTGGCTTTGATTCATTTTGAGTATTTTAAAAAGCAGGCCAGTCATGCAGGCTTTGTGAGAGCTTCAGAGGTGCATGTTCACCATCTCAGGAGCATGGTTAGAATCTCAGTGACCAAACAGTAACACTGGATACAGGTTTGCCATGAAATGAGTTCTCAGTAAGCTAGCCTGCGAGTCTAAGATAATAAATCAGTAACTTAGCTCAAAAACAGAAACCCTGAAAAATCATATGTTGTGTGCACGTTGGATTTCCTAAAGAGGAAATAATAGTAATAAGAGTTTGACCTGTATGATGAGTATAAGACTAAAGCCTTGAAGTTTTTCAACTATTTTACACCCAATTCAAATGTTTAACATATTCACTTCCTGGTGTGTTAAACACACAAGACTGCATGATCTTAGTTATTTTTATCATCAAATTTGCTTTTAATTGCACTTTCTTCTTGTTTTATCTCCCCAAGAAATTAATATTGTTAAATGTATATTGTTGTGAGCAATAAAACAATTGGATACAAGCAAGGCAATGTTAATACATCACCATAATAAAACTGTATGAGCTGTCAGTCTGTGGGAAGCACTAGCCAGTTAACCCAAGACAGGCAGTTGAGCTACCTTCTATTACAAAAAACAAAACAAAAAAAAAAAAAAAAAAACAACAAAAAAGCTATGTACAAGTATTTTCCTGTCCAATGAAGGAAAGCCATATAAATTACTAAATTAATCTATACGCATACAGTTCATGTAATATAATCACTTTTTTGCCAATTTATAAAAAAGACGTACATATATTTTTATTTCAACACTTTGCTAAATGCTTAAATACTAAATGTTTATCCTTTTTGTGAAAATATTACAGCCACATGACACGAAAGCTCAGGATAGAAGTGGTATTCAAACTGCTGTTTATAATGCATTGAAACAGTGACCAGTCATTAAAAATGTAAGAATGTAATCATTCTATATCATGCTGGAAATAAACACGGTAACACTCATCAATCTTTAAAAGACCCAAAGAAGGATATGTAAATTGTTGAAAGTAAAAGGCCGTCATAAGTCACTGCACATTGTGGGCATGCTCGGCTGACCTCGTATCAGTGTCTTCCTTTAATAAACTTATCTTAATATTGTGACATATCCGAGATACTGCTTTGTTTTTGTTTGTTCGTTCGTTTTTTTGTTCATTATTATCTCAATGTGTGCCTCCTTACAGTACGTCTGACCTTTTTTGACACACATTATTAAATATATCTCATTGAAAAAATGTTTTATTTTCCCAAATCTGTTTAATAAATACTTGCAGAATCTCAACCTTTTGTCTCCTAAATATGTTTGCGTGTCATCCTTTTTTTAAAATGTATTCGGTGTGGATATGTTAATTTAAATATGCAACTATGTGCTGTTTCTTTGTGTCCACAAGAGGGCGATAGAATGTATAATGGTATTCGTCGAGGAAACGCTTTGAACGAGTAGAAATTCAAAAAATGTGAGTCAAGATTAGATTCTATTTACCGTGCTGCTGGACAGCAGTAATAAAAAGAAATAAAAAATTAAATAAACTTTAATAAAAAACTTTTTTCTAGTCCAAACAGAGCATGTAGCAAACAAAAGAATCACATTAATCAGTGCAACAAGCTGAAGACAGGACAGCATAGCTATGATAAAACAGTCTTTTATAAAAGGAAGAGAAACCTGTAGAGAAGGAAGTGAAAAAGAAGTGCATAAACCGTCAAACTTAGTAAACAAGTGAAACCCACACAGTAGAACATTAGGGGCATGTAGGTTAGGGCAAGTTGAACCGTTTTACTTCAAGTCATAGGCAGAATGTACAGTTTAAAGAATCCACAGGTAAAGTAAAAGTCACATTTCTACGGAACAAAACATTGAACAGTATGTAAAAAAAACAGACAAATGAACAAACAATGTAGGCAACACAATGTAGTGCAAATATGTTTCTCGAATGTGTGCTACCATTTTGTCACAGTGCATGATGATGATTATTTTTTTCATAAAGCAGCAAATCATGACTTATTTCCTGACTTTGTTTCTTTGCTCGAGATTCTGTCCTTTTATTTTTGTTTTTTTTAATGCCACAGGATGCGACTGTCCTGCTGCTTAAGCCGCTCAAATACTCCATAGGGAATACATTGGTTCCACATCCTGAAGTGGTGAGAAGTACAAGAAAGAGTTAAAAAAAATCTGAAATAACAACAATAATAATTATAGTGATAAAAGGGGCAATACATCAGCTTTACCTTAAGGTTTTTATGTTTCGACAGTTTCTTAGACTGGCTCCAAGACTGATTGCTCCGACATCAGTCAGCTTGTTATACTTCACGCTGCCAAACAGAGTGTTTTTAATGCTAAGAATTAGACAAATCCTGTCCTTTTTTAACCTGGTTAATAATATTTAGTCCTGAATTGATTATGATTTTCTTTTATATGAGAACCACAGCTGAAGATAGAGAGAGAGAAAATCTAAAAAGACTTACTCCAGGTCAGTGAGAGAAGCCATGAGTGGGAGAACAGATGCCAGCTTCTCTGCACCTTCATCAGAAATCATATTGCTGTAGAGACTGGAAAAAAAAGGAAGGAGGGGCAGAAGGCAGGATGCGGGGTGAAGGCGGGGGCAGATAAGTGAAATTATTTTTGTTTCCAACAGTGTAAATGTTTTGACAAAAAATATTCTTAGTCCCAAAGTAGTCAATGGACTGTTTAAAGTTGGGCTTTTATGACATTGTAACAGAACAGCAGTCATATCTTAGCTTAGATTGCTTCATGTAACAATGCTACGGTCTGCCCTCCTTTGGATGAATCACAGGATGACAGTTTGGACAGTAGCTAACATCAGCTACAGCTTCTTCTGCTCTGGACTTGTTTTGGTCACTCAGAGTATTCCTGCTCCGTGATTTAGTCTGAATTCTGTTCATTCCACTAACCCAACCCTTCACTATGATCCGGCGCTAATCCGACCTCAACCCGTCAGACCCCCCAGTGTATTTCTAATTTCTCAATCATTATCCCCTGCCCTGAATAACTGACTTTTCAGTTTCTGTATTAGTTAAAAATAACAAGTTGACAAAATGAACCTTGGCGTTCCTCCTTTACCTTAAACTGTGCAGTTTGGGTAGAGACTTCAGGGCTGGTGCCAGGTTCTTCACTCCTCGGTCTCCTATACAATTCTGAGAAAGACTGGAGAAGAAGAGGAGGGGAATCATCATCAGCAGGACGGGCAAACTTTAAAGCTAATTGTTTTGTTTTCTTTGGTTAACACCACTCACTTGAGTATTTCCAAGGAAGGGAGGGTTATCAGAGTGTTAGCCAACATCTCTGATCCACCATCTCCTATCTTGTTGTTCTCAAGACTAGAGAGGGAATGAGGAAGTAACCGTGAGGCACAGTCAGACAGAGATAGAGATCACTAGCTATTATTATTTAGATAAATATTTCTAACAAAAATAAACTTACTCCAGGTGCTGCAGGTTCATTAGGCCTGGCAGGAGCTCCCAGAGCCTGGGAAGACCCAGGGGACCTCTGTCTGGGCCAAGTCTGAGGGGATCATCATCATCATCATCATCATCATCATCATCATCATCAGCATCAGCATCATCAGCATCATCATCATTTTACGTCTCAATGTAATGAATGTATCTTACTCAAATTCCAGCTTGCGTAGTTCCCTGATGGCTGGTACCCCTTCTGCCAAGATGGAATCTGATTGGGTGCAACTACAAGGAAACGATTGCCTCAGCAAAGTAATCAAATTATTGGGGTGTGTTTGTGTATCTGTGTGCATGCACAAACTTGAAATACCTGTCCGACAGCCTTTTATGCACATGAATATCCACCAGCTTTGCCAGGTGCTCCACGTGACACACCTGTGTGATTTTCAGAGGGTACAGCTCCAACCTGGACACTGCCTGTTGGAGGAGCTCCTCCTCACCAGACTCCTCCAGCTGCTCCCAGAGCGCAATCACATCAGCAACGCAAGCCCTGTCAGAACAGAGAACCACAGATTCCCTGTCACAGGGTCCGACGGTTGTGTCCAGAACAATGAAGGAAGAAACCTGTTGTGGTACCTGTACGTTTTGATGTTGTTGAGCCCCACCACAGACCTCAGCCCAGAAACCTGGATCCCAGTATCCTCCAGATCCAGGCGGAACCCTCGACCTTGAGCTCCACCCTTTTCAAGTATGTATTTCACAGTGAACACATCTGGTGGTCTTAGTGGAATTCCACAGAAAGATAAGAATGCTGGAAGATTCTCCACCATGTGAGAAACCAGTTGAGCGCTGCAGCTGCCTCGGTTGCCCTCCCCATATGTGGTACTGGCTTCATGCATACAGTGACAAACCTCCAGGATCTGGGCTGGACTCAGGTCACCATATAATAGACCTTGGAGTTGTTTGGCCACGAGAGTCTGCTTACTGACGGTGTTTTTGAAAGACGTTTTGGTGAAGGAGAGGAGTCTCTGCAGCAGTGTTCTGTTGTGGAACAGCAGACTGACGGCGAAGCGCTGAGTCAACCCCTGCTCCTCTATTTGATGTCGCCGACGGCCCTTTGGTCCAGACAGAGCAGGCAGAGCCTGGAGGAAGTGACGCTCCGACACATTCCTGAAGTAGGAGAAGGTCATTTGTCTGAATTTCATTGTAAGGGAAAAAAACAACAGTATCAAAACTGTTTAATACACCTTCAGTTTTTACCTTGACAAAGACAGATGAACACCTGCCAGGTAACTCTGGAGAAAGGGGTTGGCCCAGAACAGGACACAGTCATCGCTGGGGTTGACGTTCTCAAAAGCTTTCCTGCCTCTGATTCCCTTCTTGTTTTGGTTCTCATCTCCTGCTTTTTTGTCTGGGTTATCTCTTCCTGCCTCCTCCTCCTTGGCTTTTGGAACAACTGGCTCCTTTCTCAGAGGGTGCGAGCAGATAAGCCTTGTTCTGAGAGCAAAATCCTTGAATTTGGCAGATAAGGTGTGTCCAGTGGGAAGAATGGAGGAGTTGGCCTTGACCGTCTCCCAGGCTAAAGAGCTAAGTTGGTCCATAAAGTTCTTCTCCTCTACTCCACAGGCCTCCTGCCCGACACTCCTTCGCTCCTCCTGTTCCATCTCATTTTTCTCTTTCGTCTGATTTTTTCTTGCTCTCTGTCTGCGACGGCGGGCGTCAGGGCGTATCTGAGTCTGAATATTACTCAAACTCTGATTTCCTTTCACAGACGGCAGAGATGTTTGTGTCTGAACTTGAGTTTCCATTTTACTCTTCTCCAATTTTAAACACAGGACTTGATGGCACAGCTCTGTTAAAGTTCTTGGTGGAGCACCCAAAGTCTTTGAGTGTTCCAACACCATGCACACCAAACGACAAAGCCCAGGGTTCCAGCAGAGTAAATGTAGGTAACTGGAGTTTTTCAGGCAGTCCAAAGCAGAAGCTCGAAGGACAGGATCAGTGAAGTACCTGGACAGATATGTCTCTATGTCTGAGGTGGAAAAGCCACACACCTCCAGGATGCTATTCACCCTCCGCAAGAGTTGGCTAGCAGCACCTCTTGGTCGTGATGTGAGGAGAAGAGTGCAGTCTGGAAGAAGAGCCCTTTGAAGGATGGCAGAGTAAAGTTGCCTCACGGTGAACATCCCTGCTTTACTGTCCTTCTGCAGCGACGTCATCAAGTCTCTGTCCTGAGTTTGAATAAGAATCTCATAGTCCCGTAGCTCCTCAAACCCATCGAAGATGAGGAGCACACGCTTCGAGGCTGCAAGGATTTGAGCATAAACAGCATCTGGGTCCAGGCAGGGAGGGACGAAAGAGGAAAGGTTCAAAAGGAGGGTCTGAAGACTGTAGCAGGGTCTGGTTAAAAAAAGAGCTTTCTTGTCGAGAACGAAGACAAAGTCAAACTGTGGGATGCAGTCTGTGGACCAGTCAAGAAACAGTTTCTTTATCAGGGTGGTTTTTCCCATTCCTGCGTTCCCAAGTAGCAGGATGTATCGTTTGTTGTGTCCATGGATGTCTCTAAAAATCTGAATTGACATGGACACACATGAAGTAGAAGTGAACATTTTTAACACATTCAATGTGCAGAATGACACCAACACATATATGTACCAAAAAGCTAAGCTACGAAGCTACCTTGTGTCTGTCAGTCAAATCTTATATTCTCACCTGACTGCGTTCCAACAAGGTTTTTTGCCGATCTGTGTCTCCCATGATCCTTAGCTCTTTGTTGGTGTTTTTCCCAGAGCAGAGCATCTCTCTCTGGCTCACTGGCACATCCACACAGTGACAGGTCAACGAGAGGCCTTCCTCGATACACAGGCAGGTGCGATTCATGTGGGCTTTGACTTCTCTGATGTAATCCTTTACAACTTCTAAAAAAAAAAGACAAAGTCCAACTCAAATTTGTGCCTGCAGGTGACGCTACTGCTGGTGGAGGCTAAGGTGAGAATTACGCATATGCAGGGACTTACGCGTAACATTGAGGACAGTGGGAGACTGAGGACAACTTGACTCTTTACACGGTGACGTCTCTGAAACAACATTCATACACAGTGGTTTAGTCCCTGGCTGGAGAACAGTTAATAAAAACAATGCTAATACACACCACTTCTGGGTGGGAGTGGAAATATCTGCCGGGGAGACATTGCTCTGCTAGCAGAGTCCGACAGAGATCCTGGTGGTGATGAACTCATCTGGACCGGTGCTACAGCACCACCCACTGACGGATGCAAGAAAAAACACAGAGATGGATGGAAGGTTGACTTATCTTTGTCAAATTGCCAAAAAGTTGCCAGCTACGTATTTAATTGTGCAGCTTTTTCACTCACCTGGTGAAAGTGGCTGCAGTTGGCATTTACTTGGGGGTGAGGTAGATGGAACTGTAACAGGACGAAAGGAAATCAGTTAAAGATCGAACGCCACCGAAATGAAATGAACAGTAGAATTTTAGTTTTGCAAATCTGTAGTTTTCCTAGTGGTACTGTAGTAGTACAATATACTTAGTCAAAGTCAAAGAGAAGCAAGAGTAGAACGCACCTAAAATGTACGTGTGTGGAGCAGCTGTGTTCTGGATTGGAAGCTGAACAACCGGAGGTGAAAGTTTCACAGTCTGGACCACAGCACAGCCGGGATTGTCTGGGATGGTGATGAAGTGAATGGAAGGAGGAAGCTGGAGAATTCTGGCTGGAGCTGCTGCGAGGTGGGATAAACCTGAAGGTCGAGGCCCTGATTCTGAGTCAGCGACTGTTATAAAAATAACAACAACAACAAAAGAAAAAACAATAAATAAAGATTGTTATTGACCAGGTTTTGAGGTTGTTGATAGTCATTAAAAACTGTGTATACAGATGATATCATTTCCAAGAGAAGGAATATTGGAAAAATGTTGCATATTGTTCAGTCTCATGATTAAATAATTAGTAGTTAATTGCAGATATAATACAAAGGATTGTTGTTAATAAAAAAAATACAAGGGTTAGTTAAAGGTTTACACTGTTGTAAATGAGCGATAGTGATAAACACAAGTCCGAAGACTACACAGAGTCCTGTGTGTTACCTTCAAAGACAGATGCTAATAATTATATTGGACAGCATAAAACGACTGTAAACTGTGTAATGACGTTAAGGAAGTAAGTCGGTGAAAGAGTTCTCCTTTTGGTTTAGATGTGCAACCTAACAAATGTTTTTCATGAAATTAAGAACTTCCTGGTTATTTTAAATCTTCAACTGAAAAATGTCAAATGTCAGTAACACCCTTGTTTCTTGGGTTACGTTTATCGCTGTCATGTGTAAAAAAACAAAAACAAAAAATTCAAATTAAGGAAGAATGAATGCAACACAGATTTTTATCAGACTGATAAATCAGCCTTGGAAAACTAATGGACTCAACATACGTACTAACATCAACTGATTGTGTTCGAAATGAAAGAATTCCACATGTCAGAATTCATATTTTAACAATAATATAAACAATATGATAAAAGCTACAATATCCAAAATGTCTGAATTGCCAGAGTATTCAAATGCAGTGACGCTGGACTACAGTATTATGATAAATTCAGTCAATAATAAAAGCCTTTTTACATTAGCTTCTCTGATAGCTGGTAGACTGGAGAACATCAGAACAGAGAGAAAGAGGAGACGTTCTCACCTGTTGCTCTGAATCGTTTCGTCCTGAAAGGTGTGTTTTCAACTTGTGCCTGTTGTGACTGTGTCTGCAGTTCTACTGAAAGAAATGTCACGTCGGTTAAGAAGGCAAGTAGCAGAAAAAACCACAGAACAAACACAAATCGCTATAAATCAAGTTACCTGCGCTGGTTAAATCGCTATAAATCAAGTTACCTGCGCTAGTTACCTGTGACTAGTTATTTACCTCTTTGTCTTTTTCTCCTGCTCAGTTTTCTGGCACTGAGTTTGTTTTCCTGTCTCTGTAGTTCTGTTGTCATGGCAGCATCATCTGAGGTACACGGTGGATGGAGTTAAGGAGTTGGAGTTAGGTTTACACTCTCATAGATTAAGGAAAAATAATTCCATTCGGACAATAGGATAAAGCATAAAATGAGGTGGGATGAGATTAAGGAAAGGTAATCTTACTTAAGAAGTCGTCACCGCTCAACAGTGAGTCCCTGAATTGTTCTGCGGTCCGATGCACTAAATGCACTAAAACAAAACCAAATATAAACCAGTTTGAGATGAATTGAACTTGGGGACATTGTAGGTCGGACATGAAGGATGGACCTTCTGCTCACAAACTTTTCTCAAACCAACCAGATATCTGCATAAGTCGGCAACTGAACAAACAATGAAATGGACACTGAGTCAAGGATTGAAAGCAGTTGAAAAAGAGTTTGATGGCAACTCACTCAGCTGGTTGTCGTCATGTAGGAGATCCACGATGTATTCTGAAACACGAAAGGTCAGATTTTATAAACAGATCATTATCATTCTTTTTTAGACCACAGTTCAGTGTGAAACCACGCTAAAGTATTATCAGGTATTAGTTATCAGCACTCACCTGGTAGATCTCCATAGTCAGAGTTGTCCTGATCTCCTTCATGCATCGTGGCATCTGAGAACACACACACACACACACGCTAGGATTGCAGCCAGAACTGTCCTGTTTGGAAACATTTCGTTGCAAAGTCTTACATTCTATTTCAACAACTATTTCAGACTTTATAAAAGTATAAATTAGAACTCCTTAAAGGTATATTACACAGGAAAAAAAATTTTCTTGGGGAAAAAAATGATCAAAACTACAAAAAACAACAACAACTAAACCAGTAGTTCTCAAACTTTTTCTACTCTGTACCACCTGAGGAAACATTGAGCTCTCTCAGTACCACCATGATGACCAACGTCAGAATACAGCAGCAGAGGCCTTCACTGTTAGCTTCCACCGCACAGGAGAGATGTTTAGAAATGTTTATGTTTAAATGTTGTATTAATTGTGCATGAGATGTTTCAGATTTATTCAATTGAAAATGTAAATGTTAAAGTATGAATTTTCCCTGCGTACCACCAATGGTATGCCTACCACAGTTTGAGAACCACTGAACTAAACCATCACCACTTTATTGAAACTAAAATCATCCAAATGACTGCTGCAGAAACCGTGTGCTTCGGTTTAAATCTGCCCTCGCTGACCATTAAAACCTGCTCAGAGGTCTGGATTTGCACCGCGGCCAGATTTGGAAAAGATGAGTGCAATTGGCAGCGGGAAACTTTTCTTCTCTTGGAAGGAAACTAGAGACAGGTTAATGAAAAGCTGGTAGTTTCCCAGTCCAAACAACTGACCTGGAACCAGAATGTCACCAAGGTTACATTCCACACATAATGTCATGGCACACAGAACTAGTTTGACCCTTAGACTCAGATCCTGGCTAGTTAATGTTGGTGCAAGACGCAGTAAAACTCCACAGGCACTGCAGTAGTGCAGGCACAATCACATATGTACTTTCACCACCCTGTGCATACTGCACCTGTTGTGGCTGACTGTTTCCTACAGACTGATACAGTGCTATTTATATCTGGTTACAGTCTGTTGCAGTGTTTCAATGCTTCAAAACACACCGATTGCAGTAACAGTATGAGGAACTTGGTAACTTAAAAATAATCATAATCATAAATCATAAATCAATAAAAATAGCCAGCAGTGTGGTCTGTGTGTCTGTTCTCTGACGAGACCATGGTAGATGTGAAGGTGTGGGCGCATCGTGAAGTTCCTCTACATCATAGCTGATTTATTTAAGGGACCCTAAAAACCCACTTTCCCGTTTCCACCTTGTTGTTCCATTTACAGTTCAACACGTTGCATGAAAGGTTGAACATACGCAAAAACAAATTAGGTCGTGCGTAATGGCACGTTTGCCATTTGCACCAAGGGCTTATTTTACACAACGAAATAACAACAAAATACGACCAAAAAACGACTACAAACCTAAAAAGTGATCTTTTTAGCATTTTTTCCCCCGAACATTATAAAAAACATCGATGACTGAGACAGGACAAATAAATTCCGGAAATGTTTCTCAACTGTCTGCGCACTTTGAATACACCTGGCCGTCACCATGCAGCCATCAGGATGGAAGCAGCTTTTACCTGTGGGCTCGGCCGCTCATGGATGATGCTGCTCTGCTCCGATTGTCTGCTGCCTCCGGTACTCCTGTACTCCTGTACCCCTGTACCCCTGTCTTAGTCAACAACTAGTCCTGCGCCTATCCCCTGAACCAAACCATTGTGCGCAAAACTGCTCTGCTTTATTTTACTTTCGCTTTGCGCCTCACAGCACCAAAACCACCGTCTAATGAGGGCGCGGTGACAAAACAAAATTTCCAAGGTCCATCCTGTGAAGATGATGTAAATACCCCAATGGTATTGGTACATTATTGATTTAGTTTAATTAGACTTCTACTGCTACCACTAATACTACAGACTGGTGGAAAACTGAGATTTTCAATATTAACATTAATAACAATAACAACAACAACAACAACAACAACAATACTACTACTACTACTACTACTAATAATTATTATTATTAGTAGCAGTATTAACCATGATTTGTTTAGTATTACACGACTTACTCCCAACACAACCACTATTACTTCTAATAATAAAATGGTGATTATTACCATGCACTGTTGTACTGTAATAATCTGTCGTCACTGCTGCTGTACTTAACATTAACAAAATGTTATTCATATAAATTATAATAAAAATAGTGTACGCAGTACTTTCAACTGTAATCCACTTTTTAAAGAATATATATTAATAGTTTTTTTTTAAGTGTTAGCAGAATTGATATGGTGCTGTGTTTGTTAGCAGGGGTGCAGCCAGGAAACGTGCTCTGGTCCTATTTGAAGCCCCCTCACCTCCCTTTTCCTTTTGCCATGGTGACAGACGCCAGACCAGCTATTCATATCTGAACACTTGCGTCTCGGCATGAATGAGGAAACATAGGGACTTTTGGTACGGTGTGGAGTGGAAAGCACCTGCTTCACCTGTTCATCAAGAACACCAGCACATTATCTTGAAATACCTGGTTCCACCTTTAGACTTGTCATGACATGTTAGTCATGACATTTTCTGTGTGTCTCACACACACACAAACACACACACACACAGTCTGTTATAATTGCAGACTAAAAAAAGGAAACTGAAAGTGTCCATGCAAAAAACAAAGCACGCCCTTGAACCTGAAGTTTAGCTGCGAACCTGTAGCGGTGGTGGCTGAAAAGCAAGCCAAAAGAAAAAGGAAAGCTCCTTGACTTCCGAATGACTGTCATGTTATGAATAGGTACAGTGTGTGTGATTTAAACAACCATGTAGCAGAACAGACAGCGGCCTTTAGGTGTTACTGAAATGTGGATTTGATTATAAAAAATTATTTAAAAAAAACAAACAACCTGGAAAATACAAAAAAACAAATATAATCAACAGCAGAATTTAATTTCTCACATTGTAGAGAAATCAAAGCTGAGCAGATTTTAAGAATGTTGTGATGACAAACTCACCCCAGTGTGAATCCAGTCTCTCTTCTTCTTCATCACCATCTTTATGACCTTGAAGATCTGTTACATTGTCAAAGCTGCATGTGCTCTTCTTTAAGGTGGCCCACAAGGAAAGTTCCATATTTTCCGCAGCACCCACAGTCATGCTGTGAGGTTTTATTTGACTAAACGCATTGTGGTGTGCGTTAGTTAGTGAGTCTTCTGTGGGTTCTGAAAATAAAGCTGTCACATCTGTGAATCCAGCATGTGAACTGCGACGTGCTTCTCCTTTCACACATACAAGTTCCTCTGTGAGTGTGGCCCAATCAGGGGCACCCCTCACTCTCAGACTGCCCTCCAGACAGGTGCGTGGGATGCTGCCGCTTGTGTCTGCTGCAGCACAGGGTCCGAGGGCCGCAGAGCCTGTAGATATATTGAAGTAATCGACGTGAGCGGTCCTTCCCACATTTTCTGATGCTGAAAAACCGAGGCTTTTTGACAGGGCAGTGACTCCTGTTGGGTTCAGGGAAAAACTGGCCTCCGTGGACCTTGATCCTGGCCACTTGATATTGTCAATGTCCAAGTCCAGCATCCTGTACGCCGCCGTGAGCGCTGTGTCTGCCTCCATGTTCAAATCTAGGCATTTTCTTCAACAGCCCGTCTCTTTGTTTTAATGTCTTGCGTTGTAGCTGCAGATAAAAGTAATCAGAAGGAAGAAGACTGCGTCCACCGTCGTGGTGCTGACACTGATGCACTGTGATCCTCTCAGTGGCCTCTTCTACTTGATCTGACCACTCCTCCTCACTGAGCATATTCACTATCACTTTTGGCTTCTGCATTATCAACAACCACAGCTCAACAAATTCCATTCATCAGTAAGAGACAGCAGTGAAACCGTGGCGTCTATTAACTGAGGTAGTGTTTGTCCATCTCTGATCTTCACCCGAGGACCAAAGGCAGACTTGGTCTTTTTTTACAAATCAATCTCATTTTTGCTGCACTGATAATAATAGCCTGGCTTAGCATGTCTGATGATTATGGTCCAGTGCACAGTCATTGCACTACAGTCCACAAGTTCACAATTTCTTCTTTGTGAATGTGGACTAAACCAAGTCCATCATCGTTTCATCTGTCATCTCCATGGCAAGCTGTAGTTTTTAATTTTTTTTAAGGGAAATTCTGTACTTAGAGAGTCAGAAAATTAGACAAGTATTATTAACACACATAATACGGAGTAAAGCCTTATTAATTCACACAGCATCGTCAAAGAGAGAAAAAACAAATTTGTTTCCTTCAACCACTCCCATGCGGGTGCTATTATTTCAGTGATTAAGACATTGTTCACTCCTTGTAAACTCAGTATGCTGTCACCAACCTGTTGTTTATATACAAACACAATCGTGCTACCAGTTCCCTCCTGATATATTACATACATATATAAATATATATATTTATTTTATATATACCAACATATGCATGCATACATAGATGCTGTATATATGGATATAAATATATGTACATATACGTAGATGCATATATTCATAAACACTAAGGTAAATTAAACATCAGATGACATTTTTCCGTACTGTAAAGATTTACCACATTTAGGGTTAACATACTGTGAAAAGCGCAGCAGGAAAAAGAGAGACGGTCATTTGTTTTAATCAACGCACAGCAGCAGATTACAAACATCTTTGTGTGGTTAATTATTAAATTATTAATCCACTCCTGTAAATCCAGTCCTGATTTAACCCTTAAGAATAAATTCCACATGAATAACATCTACTAATCTGACTATGTCTTGTGGTTTTATTCTCAGTGAGGGCGAACAACACATCATTTAAATTATTTTATGTTCACATGTCACCTTTTACTTCCTCAAATACGAAACGAGAGACAAAATATGAGTGTGACTGACAAATAAAAAGCATCAATCACTGTACACACCGCTGAACCAGTTGATGATTTCACTGGTTGTACATGGTAGTGTTACAGCACGTGGTCCAAAAAGTCACCAGAATGATTGGAAGTGTCATGCACGTCATGCGTTTGTACTTAAATGTAAATGTACCCCACTCTGTAATGATGGGATTAATTTAAACTCTTGTTTGATTGACAACCCAGCAGTAGTTAAAATGAGGAGGTAGCTGCAGAAATCAGGCTTTGACCACATTTTCAGGTCCTGTGAACCACTCCAGACTACAAGCCACCACTTCTCTAATGTTAATATTCAAAAACAGACTGATCCCACTAAGAAGAAGTGTCAGTTTAAACAAACTTAAACAAACACAGAAGGCCGCATGGTATCAACGTATGAAATGTGGCTGAAGATCAGGCTAATAATGGTGAACACGGATGGTGACAATCTTCGACATCGAGGTCAGCAGGTGTCCTGGTCCCCGGTCACACGTTTGGAACAGTATTCCTGGATACCTGGCAGACAGGAGTGGAGTCAAGTGATCGTGATGAAGTATCTCTGACTTTCAATACAATCACATGCTTTTCACAACATTTACAATTATCTGCTGAACAAAAAACCCCTTCTGATAGTTATGCAATTTCAATATCAGGCCTCTTCCTCTGCCCTCCGAAGCTGCGCTTCCCATTTGTTAAAAAATCACTTCTTCTTTCATTGTATTTTATCTGGAATTGATGCCACAAGAATCACTAAGTCATCATAAATAATAGACTTCGGCAGAAATGGGCCAACGTCACCAGGCCAGATTATTGAGGTTATGTCAGGAAAAAAGTGTAAATTAAAGGAATTAAAAGAGTTGTTGTGAAACACTCACTGTGAACGATCGTCCTGTAGACGTCAGCGGCCGGAGAGTCAGGCACTTCACTCAGGAAAGACTTGCCCTCGTCACAGCTTTGACCTATCCTGGGGTCTAAAGGCACTTTTCCTAACAGAGTAAGATTGAAATCTTGGCACATTTTCTCGGCTCCCCCAGTGGTCGGTGGGAAGATTTCTGAAGTGTTCTAAAAGAAAAAGCAGATTACATTTGAAATGATATGCTGGCTAAATAGTGCAGAACCTGTGCCTTTTGGACGCATTCTGGGCAAAGTGTTTCCAGGTGACATAGTTCAACACATAGCAGCTGCTTTTTCACTTAATTCACAGCAGAATATTGTTGTTTTTCTTCACTTTGTCTGCATGTGTGTGTCAGCGACCTTGCATTTAGGACAGACAAAGCCACTCATGTTTTCCACCACCCCGATGATTGGCAGCTTCACCATACGACAAAAGCCAATCTCCTTGCGTACATCCTGCAATGACACTTCCTATAGAGAGGGGGAGACAGAGGTGGAGAAGACGAAGAAAGTTAAAATAGAAAAAAAAAAGAGGATGATATAAAAGAGAAACATAGACAGATAGAGAGCAAGAGAGAAAGAGAAAGAGAGAGAGAGAGGGGGGATAGGAGGGAGGAAGTGGGGGGGATTTGCATTTACTGCTTTCTTTTTTGAAAGTCTTGAGTTGAGCTTTGAAATTTGAATGTGCACAACCCATGTAAGGTTCAAGTTTAGAGACTCATGGAGAAGTTAGAGTAGGTTTGTTTTGGTAA